GCTTATAGTTGTGTGGCTTCATATCTGGATCCTCTATTCTGTTCCACTGGTCTTCATGTCTGTTTTTGTGCCAGTACCATGCTGTTTTTATTGTTATTGCTTTGTAATATAGTTTGAAGTCAGGTATTGTGATACCTCCTGCATTGTTCTTTTGACTGAGTATTGCCTTGGCTATTCGTGGCCTCTTGTGTTTCCATATAAATTTAACAGTAGATTTTTCAATCTCTTTAATGAATGTCATTGGAATTTTGATGGGAATTGCATTAAACATGTAGATTACTTTGGGAGTATCGACATTTTTACTATGTTGATTCTACCAATCCATGAGCATGGGAGATCTCTCCACTTTCTATAGTCTTCCTCAATCTCTTTCTTCAGAAGTGTATAGTTTTCCTTGTAGAGGTCTTTCACATCTTTTGTTAGGTTTACACCTAGGTATTTGATTTTTTTGAGGCTATTGTAAATGGAATTGTTTTCATACATTCTTTTTCCGTTTGCTCATTGTTAGTGTATAGAAATGCTAATGATTTTTCTATGTTGATTTTATATCCTGCTACCTTGCTATAGCTATTGATGATGTCTAGAAGCTTCTGAGTAGAGTTTTTTGGGTCTTTAAGGTATAGGATCATGTCGTCTGCAAATAGGGATATTTTGACAGTTTCTTTACCTATTTGTATTCCTTTTATTCCTTCTTCTTGCCTAATTGCTCTGGCTAGGAATTCCAGTACTATGTTGAATAGGAGTGGAGATAGTGGGCATCCTTGTCTGGTTCCTGATTTTAGAGGGAATGGTTTTATTTTTCTCCGTTAAGTATAATGCTGGCTGTAGGTTTGTCATATATAGCTTTTATAATGTTGAGGAACTTTCCTTCTATTCCTAGTTTTCTTAGAGCTTTTATCATGAAATGATGTTGGATCTTATCAAAGGCTTTTTCTGCATCTATTGAGATGATCAAGTGGTTTTTGTCTTTGCTTCTGTTAATGTGGTTTATTACGTTTATTGATTTTCGTATGTTGAACCACCCCTGCATCCCTGGGATGAAGCCTACTTGGTCGTGGTGAATAATCTTTTTGATGTGTTGCTGAATTCGTTTGCCATTATTTTGTTGAGGATTTTTGCATCAATGTTCATTAAGGAGATTGGCCTATAGTTCTCCTTTTTGGAGGTGTCTTTGCCTGGTTTTGGGATAAGTGTAATACTGGCTTCATAAAATGTGTTTGGCAGTTTTCCTTCCCTTTCTATTTCATGGAACAGTTTAAGGAGGGTTGGTATCAGTTCTTCTTTAAAGGTCTGATAGAATTCAGCAGAGAATCCATCAGGTCCTGGACTTTTCTTTTTGGGGAGACTCTTGATTGCTGCTTCAATTTCATTTTGTGTTATAGGTCTATTCAGGTGATTAATTTCCTCTTGGTTCAGTTTTGGATGATCATATGTATCTAGAAATCTGTCCATTTCTTTTAGATTTTCAAATTTATTTGAATATAGGTTCTCAAAGTAGTCTCTGATGATTTCCTGGACTTCCATGGTGTTTGTTGTTATCTCCCCTTTTGCATTCCTGATTCTACTAATTTGGGTTTTTTCTCTCCTCATTTTAGTCAGGTTTGCCAGGGGTCTATCGATCTTGTTTATTTTTTCAAAGAACCAACTTTTTGTTTCATTAATTCTTTGTATGGTTTTTTTGGTTTCTATTTCGTTGATTTCAGCTCTTATTTTTATTATTTCTCTCCTTCTATTTGTTTTGGGATTTGCTTGTTCTTGTTTTTCTAGGAGTTTGAGATGTATCATTAGGTCATTGATTTGGGATCTTTCAATCTTTTTAATATATGCACTCATGGCTATAAACTTTCCTCTCAAGACTGCCTTAGCTGTGTCCCATAGGTTCCGGTAGGTTGTGTTTTCATTTTCATTGACTTCCAGGAACTTTTTAATTTCCTCTTTTATTGCATCGATGATCCATTCTTCATTAAGTAATGAGTTATTTAGTTTCCAGCTGTTTGCATGTTTTTTGTCTTTACTTTTGTTGTTGAGTTCTACTTTTACTGCATTGTGGTCAGATAGTATGCATGGTATTATTTCTATTTTCTTATATTTGCTGAGGCTTGCTTTGTGCCCTAGGATATGATCTATTTTGGAGAAGGTTCCATGGGCTGCTGAGAAGAATGTATATTGTGTAGAGGTTGGATGAAATGTTCTGTAGACATCTACTAGGTCCACTTGATCTATTGCATATTTTAGATCTTGGATTTCTTTATTGAGTTTTTGTTTGGATGACCTATCTATTGATGATAATGGAGTGTTAAAGTCTCCCACAACCACTGTGTTGGCGTTTATATATGCTTTTAGGTCTTTCAGGGTATGTTTGATGAAATTGGGTGCGTTGACATTGGGTGCATACAGATTGATGATTATTATTTCCTTTTGGTCTATTTCCCCTTTTATTAGTATGGAATGTCCTTCTTTATCTCGTTTGATCAATGTAGGTTTGAAGTCTACTTTGTCAGAGATAAGTATTGCTACTCCTGCTTGTTTTCGGGGCCATTGGCTTGGTAAATCTTCTTCCAGCCTTTCATCCTAAGCATATGCTTATTTCTGTCGGTGAGATGAGTCTCCTGTAAGCAACAAATTGTTGGATCTTCTTTTTTAATCCATTTTGTCAAACGGTGTCTTTTGATGGGTGAATTAAGTCCATTAACATTAAGTGTTAGTACTGATAGGTATGTGGTGATTCCTGCCATTTAGTTATCTTAGTTGTTTGAAGGTTTGATTGTGTGTACCTAACTTGATGTTACTCTCTACTGTCTTGCTTTTTCTTATCCTGTGGTTTGGTGCTGCCTGCCTTTTCATGGTTAAGTTGGGTGTCACTTTCTGTGTGCAGGATCCCTTGCAGAATCTTTTGTAATGGTGGCTTTGTGGTCACATATTGTTTTAGTTTCTGCTTATCATGGAAGACTTTTATTGCTCCATCTATTTTGAATGATAGCTTTGCTGGGTAGAGTATCCTGGGGTTGAAGTTATTTTCATTCAGTGCCCGGAAGATCTCACCCCACGCTCTTCTTGCTTTTAATGTTTCTGTTGAGAAGTCTGCTGTGATTTTGATGGGTTTACCTTTGTATGTTACTTGTTTTTTCTCTCTTACAGCCTTCAATATTCTTTCCTTAGTTTCTGAACTTGTTGTTTTAATGATGATATGTCGTGGAGTAGTTCTATTTTGATCTGGTCTGTTTGGTGTCCTGGAGGCCTCTTGCATTGTATGGGAATATCTTTCTCTAGATTTGGGAAATTTTCCGTTATTATTTTGTTGAATATATTACGCATTCCCTTCGCTTGCACCTCTTCTCCTTCTTCGATGCCCATGATTCTCAAGTTTGGTCTTTTGATGGAGTCAGTGAGTTCTTGCATTTTCTTTTCACAGGTCTTGAGTTGTTTAATTAATAGTTCTTCAGTTTTTCCTTTAATTACCATTTCATCTTCAAGTTCTGAGATTCTGTCTTCTGTTTGTTCTATTCTGCTGGATTGGCCTTCCGTTTTGTTTTGCAGTTCTGTTTCGTTCTTTTTTCTGAGGTTTTCCATATCCTGGCTGTTTTCTTCTTTATTGTTGTCTATTTTTGTCCTGAGTTCATTTATCCATTTATTCATTGTGTTCTCTCTTTCACTTTGGTGTTTATACAGTGCTTCTATGGTTTCCTTTATTTCTTCTTTTGCTTTTTCAAATTCTCTATTTTTATTGTCTTGGAATTTCTTGAGTGTCTCCTGTACATTTTGGTTGACCCTATCCAGTATCATCTCTATAAAATTCTCATTGAGTACTTGTAGTATGTCTTCTTTTAAATTATTCTTGTGGCTTCATTGGGTCCTTTGGCATAGTTTATCTTCATTTTGTTGGAGTCTGGATCTGAGTTTCTGTTCTCTTCATTCCCCTCTGGTTCCTGTACTAATTTTTTGCTGTGGGGAAACTGGTTTCCTTGTTTTTTCTGTCTTCCTGTCATTGTCCTTGGTGTTGTTACTGTCCCTGTACTGTGTGTAATTAAGTATTTTCTAGCTTGTAATAATAACAATGGTAATATTGAGAATGGAAGAGTGAGCTGAGATGGAAAGCAAGAAGTTAAAGAAAAGGGGAAAACAAATATACAGACAAGAGGGAGAAAGCAGAACAAGGTATCAGAGAAGAGAGTTTCAAAGGTATAAACAGGGAGTGTTAGTGTACTAATCGACAGTAAGCTGGTCCGCGTCTTCCCAAGCCGTATGGGCGCCGGCCACTGGCGGCCCCCGGGGGCCTCCTCGGTTCTCCGTTTAACGTGAAGTGGATTTTCTCTGCGCCGGCTGGAGATGTGGAGGGGTCAAAGTTATGCCTTTTCTCGGTGATTATGCCTGCAAAGTGTGTCTCCAGCGTCTCTCCAAGATTTCACTATAGGAGGCTCGCTTTCTGCTTCCTACCTCTAGCCGCCATCTTGGAATTCCCGATCTCTTTGTTCTTAACTCATTCTTCTCTGTCCTCGGGCCCTGCACCCCTCCACCTGATACTTCAGAACCAAACACCACCCATGGCTTGAGTGGTGCAGGACCCCCACGCTGGGAGAATGGTCCTTGAGTCCCATAACTCCCTCTGAAAAAGCACCTAGTGCTGCTCAGGGACTTACTCCGAGGCACAAGGTTTTCGTTTTCGGGTCGTGCCCCTGGGGACGAACTACATTAAAGCGCGATCCCCTTCTCCCTTCCCCTTTCCTCTGCCCCCTACGTTTTTGCTCAGTAAGCTCGCACTCCCAAAAATACCACTGTGGGGAGCGCACACTCCAGGGACTCTGACCGCTGGACCCAGGCAACTACAAGGCCTGGGAAGGGTGACCAGGGCCGCCCCAGGACCCTGGGCAATGCCAACCATGGTGGCCATTGCCTCAGGTACTCGGACCGGACCTCTAATCACCCATCCTCCACCTCCCAGTCTATCCCGTACTACAGGCCGCCAACAGGGTCCTGGAGGGCAAGTGAGGGGCACACCTGACCTCACCCAGCCGGCCCCAGGCCTTAAATCGCCTCCAGAGAGGCCGGGGACGCACGTCCACCCCGCTAGGCACAGGCGAGAAACGCAAGCCCCCATAAGGCCGCCTCTCAGAGCATCAGCTCAGTGGCCGGGAGCAGGCTGCCACCACCGCGGTCGTCAGGAACCACGGCCCAGCGGGAGCTGGAGGCTTGCAGCACCCAAAGTCAGTGGGATCTACCCAGGCCGGCAGCCTCCCCCCAGTGATGTGAGCAGCACCAGCGCCAGGCGCACCCCATCACCCGCATGGTCCAGGCTCCAGGGCCTCCGCTCCACCACTAGCGCTGCGGCTGCGAGTGCTGAGAGAAGATATGGCGGCTGCAGCGCGGGCCTCAGTCAGGACCTCTCTTTCCTGCAGCTGCCATGTGTCGCATCCTTCTTCCTCTTGCTCCTCTGTCCCTCTCTCTTGCCTGTCCAACCGCCATCCCTCTGTTTGCCCGCACTCTTCTTGTCCCCATGGCCTGCAGGGGTCAGGTAAATGCTCACCATGAGGTCACATTCCCCTGTCCCAGGGCCACATGCCCTGGCCCACCAATAAGCAGTTAGTAATCTTTGCTGATGGGGATTAATGAGGTTAGATGCCAGATGCTAAAGAAAGTTTCTAAGTCTCCTTTCTTTAGGAAAGCAAACAAGGACTGGTAGACTAGCTCAAATGGTAGAACACCTGCCTAGCAAGTATGAGGCCACGAGTTCAAATCCCACCTTAGTTTGCTTTGATTATTTGGTCTCTTCATTAGGATAGTATTTGGGTTAGCACTCAGGATCAGCATTCCATTCAGGAGCCCCATGAAGGGGTGAAGAGGTCTGCCCTCAGGAAAGAAGTTGACTGGAAGTCAGGGACCCCTGCCTGCTTGTTTACTCCAGCCAGAACCAGATCAAAAGGACCTGTACTGGAGACTTCTTTAGTATCTAAAGAAGGGAAAGAAGGGATGCCTCACAAATTCAGGAAGCTCTCACTCTCTCCCAAAGGGCAAAACTCCCCCTTCCCTTTTCCTCTCTCTCTCTACCAGCCAGCATAAGGGAAGCCAGCATAGTCACACTTAGCTGTATCCTTAAAATACTGGGAGTGCTTTGATCCTGCTGATCAGAAACAAATGACTAACTCATATGGGCAGTAACACCTGTCTCTCAGGGGAAGATGTCTTCTGTTCCTGTAACAGATTGCTATTTTGAGCCTATATGTTGCATGTAACATGTCTTTGTGTTCCATTTGAGAGAGACCATGTGGTCACAGGAAATGCTGCCACTTTGATGAAGCTACCATGTGTCCAGTACCATCTTGCCATTCCCTAGGAATAGGACACTCATGGGTGACACCATCTTGCCATCTTCTAGGAAAATTATAACTAACTTGTGGTTAAAAGTCTCTAAATACAGTTTTTATTATATGTGTTGTTTTTAATACATTAATCTGTTAAGGACTGGAAAAACAAAAGGGTATTTGTGTTAAAGATCTATTATAAACTACTTAAGAAGCTAACTGACTAACCTACTAAAAATAATGACAAAAAATGATTTAAGAGTGCACTCTAAATCAATGTGATTTTTTTTGTGTGTCATTGTGTGTTTTCTGTGTATGTCTCTGTCTCCTACCAATTGTGGCCACTGAATTTTTACTTTTTTGAGGTCATACATGTGTACTTAAATTGACATTTTTTGGCATGCCCAGGTCAAAACATCTGTGTGTGTGTGTAAATGTCTTTAGGATGATTCTTAAACAACTTTTATAAAGTGAATTTGTAAAACTTGTTTAAAAAGTTATCAAAAGTTGTAATCCCAACCAGGCCTAACTATCCTCTGCCATAGGACTAAAGATAATTTATGGACAATTTTCTATCATGAGTGTAATTTACATTCAACTCTTTTATAATTAGGTTTATTAACCCATGTGTTCTTGTAGATTGCTATTATTTTAAAAAGATAGTTTAATTTACTTTCCTTCCTGAGTCTTCCTTTAAAGTGTAAGGTTGCTAAGAGTATTTTATTAAAAACAATTATCTAAATTCAGAATTTTACAAAGGTTGTTTCAAGATACAAATTAAGGTCTTAAAACTTACAAGTCTATATGTGTGATTAGGTTGACTATGGTTTAAAGTTTAAACTATAGTTTAAAGTCTACAGAATTTTCTGAGGTCAGAATTTAAGGTACTAGTGTATGTCTAAAAATGAGTTTTTGTTAGCTCTTTTATCTAAGGTACATTCTATATAGTAAGGCCTTTGACATTTCTGCTACTTACGACAAATGCTAAGAGGTCTGCCATTTAGGCCTGACATCTGTTTGTCAGAAAAACATTGGCTTATCTGAAATTGGCTAAATAAACATTGTTTTACATATATTATATGCATTAAGCATTAAAACAGAAGCTATTTGGCTTTATTGACAATGCCTTCCCCTAACTAGTGGGAAATTTAGGGTTTTTAATTGTCAGTTCTGACAACCACTAACTTGTTACTTTACCTAACCAAAATTCAAGGTTTAAACTGTGATGCTGTTACTGGCTCCTTCATATGTGAGGTATCTTTATGTTCTTCAAGTATATAAGCCTTTTAAAATAGAGTTGTAAAGAGTCAGTGTACCAAACCAGTGTCTTAGCTTCTTTTACAAGTTTGTGCATATGTTCCCAATTGTAATAAAAGAGATTTAGTAACACTATACACAATTAAAAGTAATTAGACTGTTATGTTAATTGCTAAACTGTTAACCATGGTTATTTTAAGTTTTGTTATTACAGTTCTCATACTTCTGGAACATTTACAGACAAGGCCATAAAAAAAAAAATGATTCTGACAAGTGCTTATCTATCAACCAGGACACACATTGTTAAGTATTAGGGTCGTTTTATATTTTTCTTATACACAATTAAGGTGTCAGTACCTCCTCTATGGGAAAAACAGTTAGATTTAATTAAGCCCATCTTAAGAGCTATTTTTTGCTAAATCTTTTTGTTACTAAATTTAATAAAGATCTTTGTTGCATCCACACTGACTTCTGATCTGTTTGCCTGTTACTCCCCCTCCTCCATGGAACAAATTCTGAATTTCTGGGAGAAGCTACTCCTTGCTCCAAGGGACAAAATTACCAAATTGGCAGAATCTTTACAGGCAACTGTTCAGAGAAACAGTTTAAGAGGACTACAGTTCAAAAAGACTGTAATATAAGGGGACTTCTCCAGATCCAGATGGAGTCAATTATTCCAGACCTCTAAAAGTAACCAAAGTCTAGAGATTTTAAAGGGGGCTCTTTACACACATGCTGCAATATTTAAGCCTTCTGGGCTTCTGGAAAAAGGAAAACTCATGTCTTTGGCCAAGGCCTTCTGTTTAAATAAAGGCAATATCACCATTACTACTAGCTCCAGATCTGTCCTTTTAATCATACTCAGAGTTGTTTATACTCTCTCTTGTATTCTACTTTCCATAGTATTTAACTTTTGCTTAGAGACATCGTAAGTCTTCTGTCTAGGACTGACTCCTGTTGATGTTTACCCTCAAATTGGACTGGCACCTGGTACACCTGGCTCCCAATGTAGATATTGCCCCAAATAATCAGTCCTTAACTATTCACTACAGTGGCAGTCCAAACAGAGGGCCATCCAAGGGTCAAAAATAACTACAGGTATAGACACCTATAGAAAAAATAACTATAAGACTTTCTGTCACTTTTCAAAATGAAAAGTTTGATTCTTTATCCTTCCTGCTACACCTGGCAGGGCTCTTCTGATGCTCCTATCATTGTTCATGTTTGTGTCATGCCTTCAGATTTATCTCTTACAGGATAAAAGTCTTTAGGAACCAAATCATGAGACAACTGGGCTATCGTTCTCTACGGACAAATGAGATCTCCATGAGCAACCCAGCTCTCCATGAGGAACCTTGATAGTGCTGGACAATAATTCAGACACCTTGTGTCCAAATGAGTCCCCAGGGAAAGAAGTAGGTTTGTGTCCAAATGAGTCCCCAGGGAAAGAAGTAGGAGAGAACATTTCCCCTTGTTGTTAGGGTCTGCTGCCCCTTGTCAGCCCAAAGGAGATTCAAAAGAAAAAGAGCACTCCCATTCGTCAACCTCAAAAAGATCTTTTAGGGGATCTTGTCTCTCAGAGAGAAAATGAGGCAGGCTAGAGATAGGGAAAGTTCAAGACTCATAGAAAATGTATGGCTTAATACTGCATTTCAGATTGACCATGTCCTGGCCCAGGAACTGCCCTCACCTGGCTCAGGGACCACTCATGCCCCTCCCCACTCACTTACTATTGGATGGGAATCACCTGGTTCCTCTCTTCCCATAAGTTAGCACTTATTTTAAAAGCACCTGAAGAAGAGAAGCACGCTCTCTCTGCTTCTCCGCTTCCACCTGTACTTCCCTTTCCTAACTTTTAATAAAATCCATTTACACCCCATGTGTTCTGCTATGGATTCTTCCATACAGGACACAAGGACTTTGGAAATCTGATCTTAGACTGCAACAGTCACTGTTAACACTATCTGAAAGATAAACTAAAGCAAAAAGGTCTGGGGGCACAGCTCAAGTGGTGGAGTGCTTGTGTAGCAAGTGCAAGGCCCTGACTTCAAACACCAGTACCACAAAAAAACACAGAGAGAGTGCATAACAATACTTCCACTTTTGCACAGGTGTCAAACTTTTCACAGGATAACAGTTGGCTACAATAGCTGGAAAGAACTAGAAAATCCACCCAAAACATTGATAATGTAAAGTTATTGAATGGCTATGGAAACAATTCCAGAAAGGAGAGCCCTCAGGAGTGTGCTCTCTGTCCCTAGCTGTGTCCTTTCCCTTCCCACTGCCAAGTACTTCAAGTACCAGGTACCTGCATCAAGTATCAGGCTAGGGACTGATTCCTTGGTACTTCCAGCATCTTTGAGGTCTGGTTGATGTCCTTACAGCTGGGCATCTAATCTTGTTCTCAGCATCTCCCTCCCAAATAGGCAAGTCAAGCAGTGCACTTGGAATAAGTTCCCCAGTGGAGGGAGAGTAGAGACTCTCCAGACCTCTCAGCATAAACAGCCTTCCCTAGAACCTCTTTGAAAAATAATCAAATAGAAATTCTGTAACTGTACAGTAAAACGAATGCAAATATGAACACAACAGATGGGCTTACCAAGAGATTCAATACTATGGGAGAAATAATATCCAGAATCAAATATGGAGATACAGAAAGGATGGAACTACATAAGAAAGCTAAGAGACAGAGAGGTCACAAGGAGAAAAACTAAGATATATTTAACTGAAGTAGTTGGAAGAAAAGAAAGAACATGGCTGAGGTAACAATCAAAAAGAAAATGACTAAGGACTTTCCAGAACTAACATATAGAAACATCCTGTAAAACTACAGAAAATTAAATACAATGAGAAAAATCTTAAACGATTTAGGGGAAAAAGAACAAATTACTTTCAAAGGAACAACAGTAAGACTGATAGCTGACTTCTCAATTAAAAAGTAACAGATAACCAGGCACCGGCAGCTCACACTTGTAATCTTAGCTACTTGGGAGGCTGAGACTGGGAGGATCTTAGTTTAAGGACAACCCAAACAAATACTTTGCAAAACCCCATCTCCAAAATAGTCAAAGCAAAAAAAGGACTGGAACTCAAGCAGTAGAGAGCCAGTTTTGCAAGTGCAAAGCCCTGAGTTCAAACCCCAGTCCCACAAAAAAAAAAAAAAAAAAACCAGATAGCTATGAATAGTGGCACACATCAGTAATCCCAGCACTCAAAAGGGTAAGGCAGGAGGATCAAGAGTTCAAAGCCAGCCAGGCTATATAGCAGGACACTGACCAAATAAATAAATAAATAAATAACAGAAAACAGGATATATGTTGAAATAATTACCAACCTGGCATTCCTAATTCTGTAAAGACATCATTTAAGAATGAAAGTGGAATCTGAAAGACTACATACTGTATGACTCCAACCATATGAGAATCTGGAAAAGGAGAAACTGTGGAGATAGTAAAAACATGAGTAGCTGCCAAGGAGTTAGGAGGAAGGGAGGGATGAATGGGCAGAGCACAGATGATTGTTAAGGCAGTGAAATGATTTTGTATGATACTACAGTATCATTATAATGGTGGACACATGTCATCATACATTTGTCAAAACCCATAGCATCATAATAACAAAACTATAAAGCACTGAAAGAAAAAACGTGACAAGATCTGCATTAGGAAAACAAGTAAACTGCAAGTGAAGCAGATGATTACTTATTTGGTCACTTGTACCTGCACACACAGAGAGCTTTACTCCTCATGGACCTCGCAGAGACTTTAGGCCATACTTTCGGGATCACGTTGCATAAAGTGAAAGGAAACTGGGGCAATTTGGCTTTCTCTGTTTAAGTTGGTTTTTTTGTGGAGTATCATTTTCCTATAGGAAAATAAAAAACAGAAATCCAGTTGCTTTTGGGGGAAATCAGTTGACACTTAGCAGTCTCTGTAAATGATGCCTGTGTGATCACAAAGCACCTTCCCCATATTGGAGTTCTTTTCTCTTCAATTGCCTCTTGCTGTTTTCTAACCATGGTGTCAGATGATGGAGGGGCTGGAACCTACAAGAACAATGAGACTCTTTGAGGCTCCCGGTGCAGTTTGTATTAAGCTGTTTAAAGCTGTCCTAAACATTCAAGTGTGGTTTTATTACATACTAAAGCCATGGAGAGCTCTATTCCCTACCCATTCCCTGCCATGATGCTCTGTCTCAGCACAGGCCCAAAGCGACAGGGCCAAGTGACCATGGACTGAGACACCTGAAAATGCGAGCCAAAATAAACTTTCCTCCATTTATCTCAAGTATCTGTTACTAGCACATGTAACATCAGCTCTTGGTCATACTGCTCTGCATCACTCCAGCTCCCCAAACACATGTAGAATGCAGCTCTTACCTTCCCAACAAAATCTTCTCTACATAGTATCACCTGCACAGCCTCATCAATGTCTTCTCTAGCTAATACCTAAAATTACAGAATTGATGATTAGGATGGAAATCCTGAAGAAAAGCCAGAATGACAAATCCCAGTGTAATTAACAGTGTTGTGCAAATCCTAATGCCTGTATCTCAAAGCATAGTTTGTAACTTTTTTTTTTGGTGGGGGGGACTGGGGTTTGAACTCAGGACCTCATGCTTGCTAACTGTAACTTTTTTATTATGGAAAAACCATTAAAAAATTTCAAAAACCATTCTCCATGAACCCATCTCCTAAATTCAACAATTATCAACTCAATCTCAATATAATTATCAACTAAATCCCTATTCATTTTTCTACCCTCCATCCAGACTACTTTGAAACAAATCCCTGACATCATATCATTAAATCATATTTTGTTAAAGTACCTAGAAGTTTACAATTAATGGGATTCTATATAAAATGAGTTCTCTTTCCAGGCATTCATTCAATAGGTATATATATTTCAAAAGGCCCTTGAAGTTTTCTGCCTCCTGCTATGTCTCTTCCTAAATCAAAACTACAGGAAGTTCAATTTAGCACAACTGGTCCAGTCTGGGGTCTAGTTAATGGCAGCTCCTAACTTCTTTCAGTTATCGTCTCAGATATAAGGGCTTGCTGTTTTCACTTGAGTTTGGGGAAATCTGATGCACTAACTCCTCACTATAGCAGTTTTTCAGTTGGCTTGCTATGAACCGATTTCCAGTTTTGATTCTTATATGACTAAGGAGAAACAAATGGGGTCCAGCCTGGTGACCATGCTACTATAATCCCAGCACTCTGGAGGATGAGGCAGAAGGATTCCAGGTTGGTGCCAGCCTGGGCTACATAGTGAGTTCAAGGCTAGCCTGAGCTACATAGTAAGTATTTTATTAAAAATTAAAAATTATTTTTTAAATACATTTTTTAAAAAAGGGTGTGCAAGTGTGTGATGTTTCCTGGAGCTTTTTATTTGAACGAGGCAAATCATTTGATCCCACAAAACAAGGAAACTTTCTTTAGGAGCAAACCCAGGCCTGGCAGCTCCAGTAGGATGAGCTTGGGATGCTGGCCCACACCCTCCGTGCCCTGTCCCTCAGGCTGGGACAGGTGACATTCACCATGCCCTTAGCCAAATGTGAGCCCAGGCCATTCCCATTCAACCAGTTCTTTTTTTTGTTTTGTTTTGGGTTTTTGTTTGTTTTTGTTTTGGGCAGGACTGGGGTTTAAACTCAGGGCTACGTGCTTGCAAAGCACTCGCTCTACCGCTTGAGCCACACCTCCAGTCTTTTTTGCTCTGATTATTTTGCAGATAGGGTCTGCTGAACTATTTGCTCAGGCTGGCTTCGAATCTCGACTCTCCAGATCTCAGCCTCCCGAGTAGCTGTGGTTACAGCCGTGAGCCACCAGCAAAACCAGATGTTTTGTGCGCCTAGCCTGCGCACGAAACTCCCACAACCGTTGGGTTCTGGGAGTCCAGGAGTGGGTGATTAGCCCAACAGTGTCTACAAGTGTCTAACGGAGGGCTCTTACCTCCATTAAAGGAACAGTCGGGGACTCTGGCCATTCTTTCCATTTCTCTGGCCTGAAATATTCACCACAGTTGGACGTTTTCGTGACAGCCATAGATAACAGAATCCCTGTGGGAAGAGAGGTAAACGTGAAGTGACTTGGTGAGCCTTCTCAGGGGGAAAGGCCAGCTTTGAGCTCAGGACGCTGTCTGGATTTTCGTTCGCCGCTTTCTAGTCGTCAAACAACAGACTTGACCCTCGCAATTCCAAACGGGGACGACTGGCCCCCTTCCGTGCTGTCCTGGGGACAAAGCAGGTCGTTCCCCGCGGATCACGGCTGTCACCGGGAGGGTCACCGCTCATGGTGCCAAGGCCCCGCGGAGGCCTTCGGGGTGGGCGGTGCCTCGCGTTCCGCGTCGTTACCCAGTGCGGTGTCTGCGGGCTGTGTTTCCATGCGCCGCTGGGGCCGAGGGGCTGATCCTCTGCTTCCCTTCCTTCGCAGTTTTTGTTTTTGCGGTACTGAGGCTCGAACTCAGGGCCTTCTCTTCGAGCCACTCCGCCAGCTCTAATTTTGTGATGGGTATTTTTGAGACAGAGTCTCACGCACTATTTTCCTGGGCTGGCTTCGAACCGCGATCCTCCTGATCTCGGCCTCCTGAATAGCTAGGGTTACAGGTGTGAGCCACCGGCGCCCAGCCCTTTGGAGGTTTTTGCTTTGTTTTCGCTTTCATTTTTAAAATAAGGGCAAGTTAATACGACAGAATACTGTTATCGGGAAGATTGAGATGGATCTTGTTTGCATTCTGATTCAATTGAGACAATAAGGAAAAAAGTATACTATCAAGGAATTATTAATATTTTAAGGTTGGTAGTGGTTTCTGACATTTATGGATATAATCCTGTATCTGAGATTCGCCTTAAAATGATCCAATGGCCAGGCATAAGTGGCCCACACTTGTAATCCTAGCTACTTGAGGGAAGGAGTGAGGTTGGAGGCCAGTCAGCACAAACAGATGTGAAGCCCCCATCTCCAAAATAACCACACCAGAATGGACTGAGGTGTGTTTCAAGCGGCAGAGCACCTGCTTTGCAATTGTGAAACCCTAAGTTCAAACCCCAGTCCCACCAAAGGAAAAAAAAAAAAAAAAAAGGCCAATAGGACGGGAAGAGTAAGCAGAATCATGGAATAAACAAGGTTGGAAAGGGAGGCCTGAGAAACAGGAGTCGTGAAGTTTGATTCAAAACACACAGGCACTGCACTACTTCCTTTGTTTTAAGCTGCAGACTCCTCCGCTGAGCTGCAACATGGAGTAAAAAAGTGGCTCTCTCCCTCTGACCCTGCCCACTGGCCTAAATGATTACTATGTTCTAGGAATTGAGAACAGTCTCCTAAAGAAAAACACCAAAACCTTTGATAAAGTGATTCCTTTGATCACAAAAAGAAGTGTTTGCAAAGGAAAAGTTATCTTAAGGAAGAACACCTGTCTTGAAAATGAGCATTTGGTGAAATCCATCCTTTGTTTAAAGGAATGCTCAAAAAAAGACATTTATGATGTGATGACCCAAATTTAGTAAAGTGACGTGACTTGATATCTCTGGGCCCAATTAATAATGTTCAGAGTGTAACAGCATGAAAGGTGAGAGCACACCAGGTGTTCAGAACAAAGCGGAGCCCTTAAACTAAGGTTTAAATCAAATCCACAACACACTTTTTTCCCACCATAAATGTCCATGATGTTACAGCACCTATATCTGGGTGTGTACCATCCTTTGCTTCATTAATAAACTCTCCTGATCACTACCTCTATGTGTCCTAAAATTCTAGTGTTTTTGTTTTTCTTTTGGTGGTGGTTCTGGGGCTTGAACTCAGGGCTTTCTGCTTGCTAGGCAGGTGCTCTACCACTTGAGCCACTCTCCAGCCTATTTCCTAAAATTCTTTTTTTTTTTTGCCAAAACACCATGAACCCAATATCCAAGCTCAGGACCTCCTGAGAAGACAGGGTCCATACACTTTTCTCTCTACTTTGAATATAATCAAAATTTTCTATCAGAAGGATTTTTTTAAACCCATTCAATATACACTCCAACCTTTCCTCGAGTTGAGGGCAAATAAGAGCAAGCCTGTTTAAATTCAGGCTTCTCCTGGCCCAAAAGACCAAAAATTGTATGTTCTCCCTCATATGCGGACATTAGATCAAGGGCAAACACAACAAGGGGATTGGACTTTGATCACATGATAAAGCAAGAGCACACAAGGGAGGTATGAGGATAGGTAAGACACCTAAAAAACTAGATAACATTTGTTGCCCTCAACGCAGAGAAACTAATGCAGATACTTTAAAGCAACTGAGGCCAATAGGAGAAGGGGACCAGGAACTAGAGAAAAGGTTAGATCAAGAAGAATTAACCTAGAAGGTAACACACATGCACAGGAAATCAATGCCAGTCAACTCCCTGTATAGCTATCCTTATCTCAACTAGCAAAAACCCTTGTTCCTTCCTATTATTGCTTATACTCTCTCTTCAACAAAATTAGAGATAAGGGCAAAATAGTTTCTGCCGGGTATTAAGGGGGCTGGGGGGAAAGGGGTGGAGTGGGTGGTAAGGGAGGGGGTGGGGGCAGGGGGGAGAAATGACCCATTGTATGCAAATATGAATTAAATAAATAAATAAATAATAATAAATTCAGGCTTCTCATTGGAGAGAAGAGCGGAATAGATTAAATGTTTTCAAAGGAAACAAGCTCAGGATACTGAAATCCATTCAAGGGTTCCTGTAGGGTGAAAGGACAGCCGAGCCACCTCTGGTCAACTTGAGTAGGGTACTTGTCTTAAGACCACTTATAATTTCCCAAGCAACTTTGCCTACATATTTAGCTAATTTGATCAACAGTTTTCCTTAACCAAGTCATGCAGGCTAACAAATGAGTGTTATGTTCTACTAAGTCTGGCAAAACTGGGGAACAGTTCTGGCTCAGGAAACTATGGTCAGAGAGGTTGAAGTTGAGTGACATGCCCAAAGTTACAAAGCAAGTAATTGCCAATGAATCCTTCTCACCTAAAAGTATGAACTCTACCCTATGGTGTGGTGCCTAATCACTACATATATTGCTGCTAATGTTCTATTAATTATCCATAACATATTTAACAGCTTTAAATATAATTTTCACAGCATTTTGGAGGCTATTATTTGATTTTTTAAACCTTTTAAGACTGATAAATTCATGTTTTGTGAGGCCTGAAGCTTTTATAATTTTGGTAGTTCTTTGCATGAAAAATAATATAAAATTATAAATTAAATATTTAAGGTGAATCACAGTTACAATTAAAAACAAATATTACATATTATTGTGATACATATTTATTATATACAGTATAACAGTAATTGCCAGGGTTTTGTTTTGGGGGGTTTTGTTATTTTTGAGACAGGGTCTCACAAAGTAGCTCAGTTGGCCTCAAATTCATGCTTCTCCTGCCTTAGCCTCCCAAGTGCTGGGATTACAGTTGTGTACCACTACACCCAGCTAAGAATCTTAATTTAGTACAGACTCTCAGAAGAAATGTGAGGTGTTTGGAATTGTTATTCCTGTCAAAGAACAGAGAAAGGGCAGGAGTCCACTCTCTGCCATGTGCAGTGGGAATCTACCATTCAAAATCATTCAGTAGGGGGTTGGAAAGTAGGAATGGATATAGATGAAGTAAGACTGGCCCTGACATGAACTACTAAAGCTGGATGATGGATACAAAAGGATTCATTATGTAACCAATTCTATTTGTGTATACTTTCCTGAAATTCCCACAATACAATGTTTTGAAATATTAATCTAGTTTTCACCTGGAACCCTATGTAGATAGGAGTTAAGGTAATGAGAGACTAGATAACTGTCTTGGTAACAATAATTTAAAGTGAAAGTGAATATGGAATGAGAGTACAATAGATAACTTTTTTTGAGACAGAGTCTTGCTATGTAACCCATGCTGGCCTTAAATTTGCAATCCTCCTGCCTCAGCCTTCCAAGTGTTGGCATTACAGGCAAACACCACCATGTCTGACTCTACAATGGATAACTTAAAGCAAGAAAATAAAAAAGCTCAGATGCCTGAATGCTAGAGTCAAAGCATACAATTTTTAAATAAATCCCATTCACTATTTTGAATAAAACCTGTTCTGTCATCCTCAAGTTTATTTGAGCTTGTAGGTTGCTGAATTACAACTCCAGTTGAATTAGCAATGCTTGCCAGTATTCTTTGTAAAAGCTAGGGCACTCACTATGACAGAGGCGCTCTTAGCAGTTATGTATGTGCGGGGAACAGAGAGACTGAAGAACTCAGATTCCTCTATTAGCCTTTTTTTGGAAATTAAATGTTTATAATTGAAGTCATAAAAATGCACGGTTATATAAATGAAATACTGAAAGCATTAAAAATGTATCTATGGAACCACCTAGAAATCCATGTCTGTCAGTACACAAGATTGCAGGACATATGGGAGCATTTCCTATATTCTATATACACAGTTTATCTTCAGTGGAAATCGCAACATTTAGTAAAGATAGAATATGTAAATATGACATTCCAACATTTCTTACTTTCATTAACTTTTTTTTTTTTTTTGCTGGTACTGGGGTTTGAACTGAGGGCCTCACACTTGCTGGGCAGGTACTCAAACTTTTTCTCCACTGTGAGATTGAAGGTTTACTTTGAATTATTTAGCAAAATTACAACTTTTGCATTTACCATATATCAATAGCATTTTGCTCTATTGCAACATAGCAAAACATGAGTAACAAAGGGTTTCCTTGTCTCTTACCCAGTAGGGCCTCATGGTAAATTCTGACATGCTGGATTATGAGTAGATTGATGGCCCTCTCATGTTCCTTATATTCATGGGACAGCTTCAGAATGTGAGGTCTCTCATGCCTTTAAGATGAACAGGGACAACTGAATGCTTTAATATAGTGCTTATCTTGATAAAATTTCTTAAGACCAAATTCAAATGTGATTACTAAGCATTGAGCATTTCTTAATGAATTTTCCTTATTCCTTACATTCAAAGTTTCTCTCCAGTGATTACTTATGTTCCTTAAGACCAGAACTGAGCTGGAGGCATGGCACAAGTTGTAAGCTCAACCAAAAAAAAATTTATTTTAACCAGAGCTAATGAAGGCTTTCCCACACTTCTTCCATTTAGACAGTATATCCCATGTGAATTTTTACAAGGTTATGTAAGTAGGAAGAAACAGTGAAGGCTTTCCCACACTCATTACATTCATCGGGCTTCACCTCAGTACTCCCTCATTCCTTTAAAAAGGATCCCATGGTGTCCCCTTTGAAAACAAAAGCCTACTGTATGTCCTACTATGTCTTCCTGTGACCAGGATTCAAACTCAACAGCCAGAGGATGATGTTTAGAGTAAGAGTCAACAAGTGAGCAATCATACCCAAATGAATTTTTTAATTTTCTAAAGACTTTTCAAAGTCGGCATGGTGGTGTGTGCCTGTAATTCTATCATTTGGGAGGTTGAGGCAGAAGGACTGAGAGTTTGAGATCAGTCTTGGCTACATAGTAAGACCCTACTAAAGAAGAAGAAAAAGGAAGAAGGTAGTGGAGGAGGAAAAGGAGAAAGAGGAGGAGAGTGATCTTGGTATGGATGTGGATTTTAAGGTTGCCTCACCAAAGGGAGCATATTTTAATTTAGGAACAAACCAAATGAACTGAGACAGGCATTCTGTAAGATTGCTATTATTTTTATTGAGTCTTTCAGCAATATTAACTTCTGGGGAAAATACATTTGCAACAACTGTCAATTCATGGTATTACCATTCCTTAATTATCATAGGCACTGAGCTCAAAAATTAAATGAAGTTTAAAGCAGGTAAGGATAGAACAATTCTTGAGTGCTTTCCTCAGTCCTCACCCTGAAGGATTCCTGCCAGGAGGTAACTTCCTTGAAGCAGCCTTCTTTTGTGGGCCCCTTTCACAGGTCAAGAATCAGGATGTGCGCTCCTTGGTTGCTATAACCTTTTGAGGGTGATGACAGACATGAGTTCAGTGTGACACTGGGATGACGGGCTTCCAAAAGCAAACAGAGTTCCCTGGCTGAGTTGATCCCCCAAAGCCTGATTCTGCCAGAACTGAGGGACTCCACCTGAACCTCCTGCCTCAGCCTTTCCTCCCTCTATCTGGATTCAGAAACATGCAGAGATTCAGGTCAGAGCCAACCTTACCATGGATGGAGTAGATCACTAAGGTGTAGTATGATCTGAGAAACCCCTTGCGGTCCTGCTTTCAGTTGTTGATATCCTTGGAGTATTAATTTATACCAGGATTGCTGTGACTTAGACAATACTAGATTTCTTTCTCTCTTCAAATCTCTAAATTGCTATGCTCCACCTCACTATCAGCTGATGATCTCACTTCATTGAGACAGTGAAATAAACAGAAGTAAACAATCTTCCTTCACCAAGTTCACCAAACTAGTTTCCTCTGCATCCATATATTTTGCCTCCCCTGTCCCTACAATGGATAGACTGCCCTGCCTTCCATTTGAACCCCAGATCCCACCTCTTCACCAGTGAAGGACTCTGTTCTTGAAACCCTTTCTTTACTGGGCTCTGCAATATCATACTCTCCTTTCCTGCCACTCACTTCTTTCATGTGCCTTTGCTGGATCTGCCTCCTTATGCTGGCCTCTAACCTTAGGGTTCCTCAGGACTAGCCCACAACCTTCTTTTCTCACTCACTCCCAAGTGATCTCATGGTTTCATTTTTTGTTATTGGGTGGTGTTGGGATTTGAACTGAAGGCCTCTAGCTTGCTATGCAGGTGCTCTACCCCTTGAGACTACTTCAGCCCTTTTTTGTCTTAGTTATTTTTGGATAGGGTTTCATGTTTTTGCCTAGAGTTGGCCTTGGACAGCAACTCACCTACTTATGCCTCTCAATAGCTGGGATTACAGGTGTGCCCCATCACAACTGGCCTGACCTCACAATTTCACCTATATAAGAATGACTCAAATGGACTCACCCCAGTCTGTCCCGACTTCCAGACTGCATCCACCTGCCTACTTCACAGCTACTCTGAAAGGTCGAATAAAACCTAAATGTTACCAAGTATACCTGAATGTTACTAAAATGTACTGATTTTAGTCTTAGTATCACTTACGCAATAGGTGCTACATTCCAAAGTAAGGTGTGTTCCCTCTGAATAAAGGATCCCTGCCTCTCCCCCAACTCTACTCCCAGTAGATGGGGTGGCCCACTGACTCCTCTCTTCTTGGAAGCCTGACAAATGAAGAAGTTCCCAGGTTCTCAGATTTTGGTCACAGCAATAGCTGCCTTGTGTATTGCAAAATAAGACTGACTGCCTCAGCTCTCACCACATCCTGCTCTTCATCCTTTTCTACCCCCAGGTTGAGGTTCAAGGAAGAAAGGTACCTTTCACAGTTGGCCTTTTTGGGACTTGGATTCTGGTAACAGAGAGGTTGTTTCTCCACAGAGTATGGCCCTTTGTTTCTGTAGGGAGGAACCAGAAAGGAAGGAATTCTCTTAACTCTCTACTTAATTGTAGCATTTAATATTTTTATTTAAACTTGAGGTTGATGAATTCTATATGAAGCTACATATTTTTATGAAAAAGAAACAATAAGTAGAATTACCTTGCTCTAGTATTATTTTTTTTTTGAAGTCTCTTTGTTGTGTAATCAAAGAAGCTGAGTGAAAGGCCTTCAAATGCCTTCATTGTAAACGAATGCCCCAGAGGTGTCCAGTTTGCTATCCCTAGGAATGTCTAACTGCTAAAGCCAAGCCTGGCTTCCCTACCCCTGCTGCCATAGCTGGGGCACATCTCTCATTCATGGAAGAGAATCCAGTCTTCCTCCTTTTTTCAGAGGAAACTCATAGACTTAAGCTTCTAGCTACTCCAACAATGCAAAATCCTCCTTCCTACTGGGCTTACTGCTATAAGAGGTCCTTAAAATCAAAATCCCTTCTTTTATACCATTTATAGAAATTAGGGTTAAGATTGTTGATTATTCTACAATCTTACTCAAATGTGTTGGTTCTGTTGGAGACAGTGGCAGTTATGGAGGTAAGGAACTACTCCTTGGACTCTAACGTACACAAGGGATTCTGAAACATTCTATCTTTTAAGGCCCAGTTTCAATACTGTCTTTTGTACCCCAATTCCCCTATTCAGGGGACAAAGCATATTGGTAAGCCATCTGTCCAGGACACTGACAAGTCCTCAGTGGTCAATTCCATCTCTAACATCATCTGTTCCTACTTTTTAATTTTTTCTGAGACAGGATCTTGCTGTATTGTCCAGGCTCAAATAACCCTCCTGCTTCAGCCCTGAGTTCTGAGTCTGGAGGTGTGTACCACTGCACCTAGCACCATCTATTTCTGCTTCAAAGCACTATGATCCCCATAAGGCAATTAGCCATGCCAGTGTCAAGCATCTTCTTAACAGCCCTCTTGCTTCTGCCGTGCTGCCTGCCCTGCTGAATTTATCAAATTCTGACCCTATTCAGGAAAACGAAAGGGGAATACTACAGTTCACTTTGGCACTTTTAGGAACAGAGAATTGTAGGCCAGCCTCCTACAAAATGAAATGTAAGCTCATTTTTCTTCCACCTTGCTAGGTTCTTTTTTTTGTTATCAATAGCTATACTGATGTATAATTTGCATACCATAAAATTTACCCATTTTAAGTGCACAAGTTAATGACTTTTAATACACTTAAGAGTTACTCGTCATTACCACAATCTAATTTTAGCACATTTCTACCAACCCTCAAACCTCATGCTCCTTCACAGTCATTTCCATTGCTACCCCAGCCCTAGGCAACCACTGTCTACCTTGTGTCTCTATAGTTTATCTTTTTTGGACAGTTTATCTAAAAAGAATCATACAACATTTGGTTTTTGGTGATTGGTTTCCTTCACTAAGTGTAATGGTTTTGAAATTCATCCATATTGTAGCATAGATAAGTACTTGCCAAATAATATTCCATTGTGTGGATATATCATATTTTACATATCCATTCATCAGTTGATGAACACTTGACTTTCTACTTTTGGGTTGTTGTGTATAATGATGCTAGTATAGTCCGATACTATCCTTGAGATGGATGTATGTTTTTATTTCTCCTGAGTTAAAGCTAGGAATTGAATTGATGGGTCGCAAGGTAATTTAGTGTTTAACATTTAGAGAAACTGCCAAACTATTTTCCTAAGTTGCTGCACTTTTTTACACTCTCTCTAGTAATGTGTGAGGGATCATGTTACTTTAACCAGATCATTACAAGTTGGGTAATGATGTGAAGAAACCTTATTTTCAATTCCATAACTAGCTAATTGGTATGATTTACCACGTGACATGCATAATAGTACGTACCACTTCTCTGCCCGTTAAATCTTCCGATTTTGGTACAGTATTGTTAGAGCTACTGCATAACAAAAGTAGTACCAAACTCCATTTATACTCCTCCAATTCAATTAAAATTTCCTAACTCTTAACTTTGGTACAAGTTGTCAACCACATCTCCCACCCCCCCAGCCCCAACCCAACTTGTTATTTCTGTGCAATTTGTTCCTTAAAATTAGAAAAGCCTGAGGAAAGTTGTTACTTCACCAGAAACAATGGTGAAAGCTGCCTAATGTCAGGTAGGCCACAAGGTGAGACCTTGGTGCTGACCCCGCAGTTTGATAGAATGGCTGGGAATGGCACTGTAGCCAAGCATTTTAAATGAAGGGCGAGTGAAGTGAAGCAATGGAACAACAGGCTTACTTGTAAATAACCGCCTTTTCTTCCTCCTGGGACTCCAGAAGATGAGAAGTGCTTGCCAAGGGTTTCACATCAAGACAACTATCATTAAAATTCACTTTCACTTTTAACCTTTAACAAGAGGACATGTGTGAGCACGTCTTGAAAACAATACCAGCTTGCTTTTATGCAGAAATTACTGTTACGCACAGCCTGCTATATGTATTATCCAAAATACCATTACTTTAAACTGAGATACATTCTCAGATGAGACTAACAGTTTAAGAGTCTCTGAAACCATGATGGAGATTGATTTACTATTCACTGAGAACCAAGAATAAGCCAGGAAAAGTTGAAACCTCTCCCTGTCTATTGGGAGCTATATGCTAATGTTTAAAGAAACCATAGAGATTGTGTCATTTATAAGCATAACTATGAAATGCTTTTCCTCAGACAGAATCAAAAACTACATTGTCTAATCTCTCTTGTCTTGTGGTGCCAGACAGGAGCCTTAAATTATTCCAGTCTTGCACCCATGCAAGAGTAGATTTAAAGGGCAGTTTTTGCCTGGTATACAGCACCCATTTTGCTGGCATAGATAAGAAACAGAATATAAGATAGCAATGTATACAATGTTTAAAAAAGGAAGGAATACAACCATGAAACTAAAAAGGCAGTGAGAACCTATTAGGAATGAACAAACATATGAGGGGTGTAGAGAATCTAAGAAATGGATATGGAAATCTAAGAAATTAAAATTTTAATATTTGACAGAACAAAGAAAGAATTAGCAAACAGGAAAATTCACCCAAAGAAATTACCTAAGGAGATGGGAAATATGAAGGGCATATTAAAATATTTTATTCATATACCACATACACACACACTCTGAACCCAGAAGCAGAACTAAAATGTGGGGGGAAAAGCAAATTAAAAGTGATCCTAGTATATTTTCCTGAACTGATGAAAAACATGAATGTAGAGATCCAGGAAGAACAACATATACCAGTGGATTAAATGAAAAGAATTCCATAAGTGGACATCTATAAAGAGAATGCAGGACCCCAAAGACAAGTTCTTAAAAGCAGCCACAGAGGAAGAACAAAAAGAACAACAGCAGACTTCTCAAAAATAACAACAGAGGACAAAAAATAAGAGAAAAAACATTAAGAGAAAATAAACATCAACTTAGAATTGTGCATGCCAATTATCTTTTTAAAATGAGAGTACAATGAAGATGTTTTAGTGAAACAAAATTTGAATTTTAAAGGTTGAATTTCAGGAAGTAGGAAAATGATCTGAGAAATGTGATGTCAGACAAAAAATGGAAAGTTTTGCCATTTGCAGGCAAATGGATGGAACTGGAGAACATCATCTTAACTGAAGTTATCCAAGCTCAAAAAGCCACAGGCTGCATGTTTTCCTCATGTGGAATATAGACCCAATACAAATGTAAGCAATATTATGAAAAACAGATCATTTACGAGAGAGGGAGGGTGAAAGAAGTTAAGAAGGTGAATATGGTTGATATGCTTCCTATACAAGAATGAATACAGATTTTTTTAAAACCTGTTGAAATCACCATAAGAAGGGGATTAAGGTAGAAAGGAGAAAAATAGAGGAGATGAACCAATTTGGGTTATAATACATATGTACATGGAAATGTCACAAGAAAACTCCTTATATAGCTATCTTAAACCAAAATGTCATTTTTTTTTCAAAAACAGAGAACAGGAGCACAAAATAGGTCCTATCTCAGGGGCTGGTACCAGTGGGAGGCAGGGGGATATACAAAAAGGGTAAAAGAGGGTGAATATGGTGAAAATATTATGTACACATATGTGAATGGAAAAATGAGACCTGTTGAAATTATTTCAGGAATCAGGGAAGAGGGAATAAAGGAGAATTGTGGAGGGGGTGAATTCACCCCCAATTGTAAGAACTCTTGTTAATGGCACAATGTACCCCCAGTACAACAGTAATAAAAAAAATTTAAAGACAGAAAATGGGACAGGATGCATATGTATTCCTTCCTCTATGTGCCTATTTCCCATATCTATATCTGCTACAAACTTCTGAAAGGATGTTTCCCCTTAGATATTCCAAAACTAGAAATCATTTTTTAATTTCTTTTGTGTGTGTGTGTGTGTGTGTGATACTGGGGTTTGAACTCAGGGTTTCCCAAACTTGCTACGCAGGTACTCAACCACTTGAGCCAAACCTCCAGTCCTAGAGATCATTTTTTTTAATTAATCATAGCTGAATGCCAGGGGCTCATACCTGTAATCCTAGCTATTTGGGACACTGCGATCAGGAGGACTGTGGTTCAAGGCTAGCCTGGGCAAATACTCTGTGAGAACCCCATCTCCAAAACAGCCCAAGCAAAAGGGACTGGAGGTATGGCTCATGTAATAGAGCACCTGCTTTGCAAGTAAGAAGCCCTGAGTTCAAATGCCAAGTTCAAATCCCAGTACTGCCAAAAAAAAAAGAATGTTTGAGTTCAAGCACCAGTCCAACCAGAAAATAAATAAAATCATGAAACAGAACACTGTATTAGACAAGTCCTAAGAATCTAATGCTCCTCTTTGTTTTTCTGTTCTTATCTAAGATCTCACCTCTATCTAGTTTCTATTAGGCTGTGTGTCTCTCCTTTGTGCTTCCGTAATAACATATGCACATTAGTATTATTGTATTGCCACACTATGATAGAATTATCTGTTTAATATCTTCTCTGTTAGATTGTGAGATCTTTAAAAGCAATTACAACTCAATCCATGATGCTCTGAATGAATGAATTTAATGTGATGTTATGGGTTGGACTGTGTTCCTCCAAAAGATATATTCAAGTCCTTATCCCTACTATCTGTGAATTTGATGTTGTTTAGAAACAGGATCTTTGCAGATAAAATGAAGTTAAAACAAGGTAAAACTGATTAGGGTGTGCCCTAATGCAGTAATATATATCCTTGTAAGTAGAAGCAAATTTGGACCCAGACTCAAAAAGAAGACCAGGTGACAATGGAGGTAAAGACTGGAGTGATGAGGCTGCAAGCAAAGGAACACTAAGAAGTTATCGTTGTTGTTATTATAGATCAGTGGTTAGAACAGGAATTTAGTTTATGGAATTATTAAGAAAGGGGCAGATTAGAAGATTTAGGAGTAGACACAATAGGACCCAGTGCTGGTTTAGACAAAGGGAAAATGGAAGATAAAGAAGAATCCTAATGTTTCCTGTAACTTAGAAACTCAAAAGAAGAAAGTGAAATATAAGTAGAAAAAAATGAGGGGAGGGGGGCAAGTAAACCAGGCCCCTATGGCTCATGCCCGTAATCCTAGCTACTCAGAAGCAGAGATCAGGAGGCTTGGGGTTCAAAGTCAATCCGGGCAAATAGTTCATGAGACTTCATCTAAAAAAAAATCCATCAAAAGAAAGGTCTGGCAGAGTGGCTCAAGCAGTAAGAGCACCTGCCTAGTCAGCATGAGGCCCTGAGTTCAAACCCCATTGCTGCCAAAAAAAAAAACCCCAAAAACTAGAATATACTATCAAAGAACTATAGCACATTATTAATGGCTAACATGCATATAGTTGGAATCTGAAAAGGAAAAAAAAAAGCAGAGAGAAAAAAGCATGAGAAATATTTGAAGAGATATCTACCATTCACTAAAATGATGAAAATTATTTATGACTAAATTTTATAAAATATTTTTAAAATAATGAAAGGCAAAACCACAGATATGAGAATCTCAGAAAACCCTAATAGATAGAAAGAAAAAAGAATAACTAAACCTAGACACATCATAGTTTAACTAATAAAAACCAAAGATTCAGGTGGCTAAGAAAGAGAAATTTAGATGAGATTAATTTGATGTATATATTATATACATGTAAATATCACAATGAGACCTCTTTGTACAATTAATTTATGCTAATAAAAAGTTTTTAATGAACCAATGAAGAAATGGGCAAGTGAACTAAACAGAACTTTCTCAAAAGAAGAAATATTCAAATGGCCAAAAAACACATGAAAAAATGCTCACCATCTCTAGCAATAAAGGAAATGCAAATTAAAACCACACTAAGATTCCACCTCACCCCTGTTAGAATATCCATCATTAGCAACACCACCAACAAAGGGTGCTGGCGAGGATGCGGGGGAAAAAGGAACCTTCTTACACTGTTGGTGGGAATGTAAACTAGTACAACCCTCTGGAAAAAACTTTGGAGGCTACTTAAAAAGCTAAACATTGATCTACCATATGATCCAGCAATACCACTCTTGGGGATATACCCAAAAGACTGTGACACAGCTTACTCCAGAGGCACCTGCACACCCATGTTATTGCAGCACTATTCACAATAGCCAAATTATGGAAACAGCCAAGATGCCCCACTACTGACGAATGGATCAAGAAAATGTGGTATTTATACACAATGGAATTTTATGCAGCCATGAAGAAGAACGAAATGTTATCATTCGCTGGTAAATGGATGGAATTGGAGAACATCATTCTGAGTGAGGTTAGCCTGGCCCAAAAGACCAAAAATCTTATGTTCTCTCTCATATGTGGACATTAGATCAAGGGCAAACACAACAAGGGGATTGGACTTTGAGCACATGATAAAAGCCAGAGCACACAAGGGAGGGGTGAGGATAGGTAAGACACCTAAAAAATTAGCTAGCATTTGTTGCCCTTAATGCAGAGAAACTAAAGCAGATACCTTAAAAGCAACTGAGGCCAATAGGAGAAGGGGACCAGGAACTAGAGAAAAGGTTAGATCAAAAAGAATTAACCTAGAAGGTAACACACACACAGGAAATTAATGTGAGTCAACTCCCTGTATAGCTATCCTTATCTCAACTAGCAAAAACCCTTGTTCCTTCCTATTATTGCTTATACTCTCTCTTCAACAAAATTAGAGATAAGGCAAAATAGTTTCTGCCAGGTATTGTGGGGGTAGGGTGGAGAGGGAGGGGGCAGAGTGGGTGGTAAGGGAGGGGGTGGGGGCAGGGGGAAGAAATGACCTAAGCATTGTATGCACATATGAATAATAAAACAATAAAAAAAATAAAGTTTTAAAGAAAAATATTTGTTAAAAAAAGAAAACAAACATAAAGAGAAAATCTTGACATCATCCAATAAGAAAGAAACTCATAGAGAAACAAAGATAAAATTTACAGTAGATTTCTCATCAAACAATGAAAAATTTGAGTTCAGGGCAGCCACAGGCTGATGAGAAGCATTCAACCACAGAAGCTAGTCTGTACTTCCCACCTCCAGCCTTGCCCTAGCCCCTTCAGCCATCCCACACAGCTGAAGCAACCATTGGGAACCTCCAACCCCATTGCTCCAGACTCTCCAGTGACTCCTGATGGCATACAGGCCCCTCACCTGCCCAGCAGTATCTCCTGGGCAGAGATACTGTTCTCCCCACTCTCTCTTAGCACCTTCCTGGAGTCAGACAGACCTGGACTAGAATTTCATTTCTGCCTTTTAAAATGTGGGTATGACTTGAGCAAGATACTTCATTTTGAACCTCAGTTTCCTTATCCATGAAGCAGAAGCAATGGAGAAGACATTTTTCATGGGGCTGATAAAAAAGTTAGACATGTTGTTTATAAAGAGATTTTATGGAGTATTATTCAGCCATAAAGAAGAATGAAGCTATGTCATTGGCAGGAACACGGTAGAACTGAGGATCATCATGTTAGGTGAAAGAAGCCAGTAACAGAAAAATAGATGTTGCATGTCTTCTCTCAAACATGGAATGTAGATTAAGAAAAAAGACATCAAAATAGAAGGGAGGGCTACTTAGGGAGAGCTAGAACCAGCAGGAGTAGGACAAGAGAGGATGACAAGAGTACATAGTATGCCTGTATGAAAATGTCATAATGGTACCATTTTGTACGACTAATAAAAAAAACACTATAGTAAGTTGCATCTGGGGATGAAAAAACTGCCTGTGATGAGGATAATCTATGCCTCAAAGATGTGAAGGTTTTACAAGTGTTATTTATCAAAACTATGCAGTTAATGTCTGTGCCTTTCGATATATGTACATCCGACACACCATAAACAGGAAAAACGTAAAACTCCCAACTATGAAAAAGTTTATATCACTTTCAAAACCCAAGAAGTTCATAATGTCCATTGTGTTAATAATTACCTGCTCCTTTTACAAAATTCACTTTCTATGTATCTTGTGGGCACTTTAAGCCACTCATTTGAATTCATAAAGTGCCTTGAATTACAAATACTTGGGAATCTGGAATGCAGTTGAGCCTTCTCAATCTCTTTAAATTCTTTCATCGTATATATTTTGCCTGCAGGAAGATTAGTAATCTAAATTAGCACCCTTAAATGCAACTGCCATTGCTCTTGGGTTATGAAATCACATTAAGAGTTAGGAACTAAGTACCAGTTTCACACTGAAGAAGAGTTCTTTTTTCTTCATCCTTGTCATATTGTGCTTTTTTCAAAGGGTCACGAAATGGTGGGACTATAACCTACAAGAAAAGCATATCTCTGAGGACTGGATTACAGATCTGAGTATTCAACATTTTGAGCCAATCCTACGCATTCACATGTGCTCATAAGCCAGAAGAGACAAGAATACAGTATTTACAAACTACATGCCCGTTATATTTTTTAATAATATATGTTTTTTGGCAGTACTGGGGTCTGAACTCAGGGCCTCATGCTTACTAGGCCGGCACTCTACCACTTGAGCCACTCCAACCAGTCCTCATTATATATACATTTAACATATCATAAAGAGGTAGGGGCACTCCAATACCTCCCTTAACAAGACCCTATAGCCAAAAAGGTATGGTTAGCTCTCGTTTCAAAGTGTGAGTTCACAGGCTCAGAAGACCAAAAATCATATGTTCTCCCTCATTTGTGGACTTTAGATCTAAGGCAAGTACAGCAATGTTGTTGGACTTGGGTCACATGACAAGGGGAGAGCACATACAGGAGATATGGGGATAGGTAGGAAACCCAAAACTTGAAAGTGTTTGATGTCCCCACTGTAGAGGAGCTAATACAGAAACCTTAAAGCGACAGAGGTTAACACGAGAAGGGGAACAGGAACCAGTGTAAAGATCAGTTAGAGATACATCAATTTGGGTTGTAACACATTTGTACATAGAAGCAATGCTAGGAATCTCTCTGTATAGCTACCCTTAACTCAACTAGCAAAAACGCTTTGTCTTTCTTATTATTGCTTATGTCTTCTCTTCAACAAAATTAGAGACAAGGGCAGAATGGGTTCTGCCTGGAAGCGAGGGGTTGGGGGGCAAGGGGGAAAAATGACCCAAACAATGTATGCACACATGAATAAATGAATTAAAAAAAAGTGAGTTAAATCTTCAAAAATTCTTTTGTCATTATCATATATCTCTAAAATTAAAAATTTCTTTTCAATGCACAAAAGAAAAAATATCTATATATTCATCTTAATCCTAGCACCTATAATAAACAACAAATTAACAATTATGCAAACTTAACCAAAACACTACTCAAAGTATAAATCATCTATGAGCTAAGGTATTAAAACACTAAATCTCTTTTAATGGCCAATGTTATTAATATCAAAATGATAGTTCTACTACTGTAGTTACATTCATGGTCTAGCCTAGACCATGAAATTTTACTGCAAGCTAAAAAAATCCCCATGGATCTTTCTAATAATAGTCAGATTCACTTTTCTGTGATAATTACAACACATAATATGACTATTTAGAGTTAAAATAATGGCCAGACTGCCCTCTAGAAGCTTGCTTTTACAGAAGTTCTGAAGAGTGCTACTTATAAGAAAACATTAGCTCATTATAAAAAGAGGCAAGAAGAGTACTGTCATTTTCACTATTTGTACATAACTTATTGATACATGAATCAAAAAGTCTAAAATCAAATTTTAAACTTTAAAGAGAGAAACAAAGGCTATTCTAAAGTTTTACCAATAATTATCAATCACAAGATTTTCCTATCTCTACTGACAAGTACTTGTGGACCTAGAACCTGAAAGGAAATATTATAACCCAGTGTTTCTCAAAAAATAATTTATTTCAAGACTTGTTCCTATCTCTAAAACACTTTTTAATGTATAGATTAAATCCATCACTATTTGCTATACTGGAACTAAAAACTAAGAAAATTTTCAATTGTTTATTAATTTAAAAATATAATAAGCCTATTATATTTAACATATCTTTTGTGAAAATCACTGTATTTTCCAAAAAAAATTTAGAAAAGTAACATTGTTTTTCATTTTTGTAAATTTCTTTTTTTTTTTTTTTGTGGGTCTAAGGTTTGAACTCAGGACTTCGCACTTGCAGAGCAGGTGCTCTATAGCTTGATCCACACCTACAGTTCATTTTTGTCTGGTTATTTTGGAGATGGGGGTCTTAGGAAATATTTGCCTTGGCTTTCCTCAAACCACAATCTTCTAGAACTCAGCTTCCCAAGTAGCAAGGACTATAGGCGTGAGCCACAAGTATCTGGCCATATCAGTGAATTTTTCTTACACTTCCAAATTAAAAATCCATTGGTCTATCCTGTACTTCAAATGAATTTTCCCCATGTATGATTTTATAATATCATGAATTGGTTACTTAGGGAAAACTGGATTACTGGAACAAGATCTTCCAAATGTTTATAATGCAAAATCAAATGATCACATTAATTAATATCATTACCAATCTCATCAGTAAAGTCTATTGAGTATTCAGATGCTATGATACTCATAATGGTGAATATAAGTTTTCCAAAATTCAAATGTTTTGCTTGAAAGCTACATTTTATTATTGGTAGCAAACATTGTTGGTAATTTTCCTTGAAGTGACAGGCTCACTTCATTTTCAAAAAAATGTTTATCAAACACCCAAAACTTAATAATCATAGCTTATAAATCTTTTTTTTCAAGTAAAAATGGTGTTTCATGCAAAAGAAAAAACCTAGCTGGCAGAATGGCACATGTTGTAAAGTGCCTGCCTAGTAAGGGTGAGGCTCTGCGTTCAAGCTCCAGTACTCCCAAAAAAAGAAAAAGAAAAAAACCCAACCAGTTCTCTCAACTTAATCATACTACATTCCAGTATACAGCCGAGGTGCTCTTTTGTGCGCTGCCATTTCATCACACAGAATATTAAAAAGACGCAGGTTCATTTTGGTTGGTCTGAGGCTGGCTCTGGGTCACATCCAGCCCAATTGCTGGGAAAGATTAAAAGGGGAAAACTGGGTACACTAGGTATTTCCACCAGGTGGCCCAGAAGTGGGAATACGGACAAGCTTACAGACTCTGAGGCAGCTCAGGAGCAAGGTCTTGGAGGAAGTGTCAGGGCATAAAGAGTACGAGGCAGGACACCAGAAACCCAGCCAGAGGAGTCTTCTAGAGACGCTTTCATGTGAAGTCTCTGCAGAACCTGAGCAAGTGCTGGATCTGAGGACATGGGATGGCAATGCTGGGCCCACAAACAAGGTCAGCATATGAACCATAGTGTCATGTGACCAAAAGGAATAACCTGCCACTACTTCAGCACCATCAGTGTAAATGTTAACCCACTGAAAATGGCAAAAATATTTACCACCATTATGGAGCTAGTTTTGGCCTAACAGATCCCTTAAAAGGGTCTTGGGATGGCAAGTGTCCATATATCTCACCCTGAGAACTCCTAAAACTTCGAAGTATTCAGATTATTTTAAAAAGTCATTCATAAGCTTCATTTAGAAAGGCAGCATGCAAAAAAAACCCAGAAAAATGAATTTAGTATTCACTACAGTACTATGTTCCTATGTTGAAACCTAATCACCAGTGCAACAGTACTAAGAGAAGGGGCTTTTAGGAGGTGACTAAGCCATGAGGGGGAGCCCTCCTGAATGAGAGAGCTTGTCTGCCCTTTCTACAATGTGAGTACACACAGAGGGGGCCATCCATGAGGAATGGGTTCTCACCAGATGTCAAATCTGCTGGCACTTTGATCTTGCACTTCCCAGGCTACGAATAATAAGCAATAAATTTTTGTTGCTTATAAATTACCCAGTCTAAGGTATTTTGTTATTAGGAGCAGGAATGGACTGAGATATTATAAAAAAGATCTGGTTTCAAATCTCAACTTCACTTTTATTATCTATGTTACTATTTAATGTTTTCAAGACTAAACTCTCAGTTTAATCCTCACCTACAAAAATAGGGACTACAGTGTGCGTGCAGACACACACATACCCCAATTTGAAAAAAATGTGCACAGGACATAAAATTCCTGTCCAAATGCCAGTAGCTTAAAATGTCTATGACCCAAGGTAGTTTGGGAGGAAGTTTTATTTTGTTTAATAATATCCACTATTATCAAAAGTGTGGAAAAGCCAGGAGCCACTGGCTCATACCTATAATCCTAGCTACTCAGGAAGCGGAGATCAGAAGGATCACAATTCAAAGCCAGCCTAGGCAAATAGTTGTTGAGACCCTATCTTGAGAATACCCAGCATAAAAAAAGGCTGGTGGAGTGGCCTAGTACCACCAAAAAAAAAAAAAAAAAAAAAAAAAAAACAGTGTGGAAAAAATAGAGTCTGATGGAAGTATAAGTTTATACAAACCAATCTAAAGGACAACTTCACAATATAAATCAAATATCATGCATACCCTTTAACTCAGCAATTCTTCTAGCAACTTATCCTAAGAAAAAAATTTTAAAATATCTAGCTGCAGAGCTGCTCATCATAAAGTCATTTGTAAGAGTAATACTCAAAAATAATCTTCATGTTCAAAATAGGGTATCTGTTGAAAAACTGATGGTATGGCAAAGTACAGTATATAATTAGAGACCATCTATGCTCTGTAGATTCATAGATGGTCTCTTGACAAATAATTATCTGTGCTCCACTTGCCTCACTTGTGAATTACCTTAGAAATGAAATAAATTTTTTGAAAAAATAGCATGTGCTCAGCATGTGCAAAGAAAAATCCGAGGGCTTGCTTAAGCCTTCAGGGTAAGGTAGCTGCTATTAATAATAGAAAACCAAGGAAAATTTTAAGTTATGGCTTGCTTAAGCCTTCAGGGTAAGGTAGCTGCTATTAATAATAGAAAACCAAGGAAAATTTTAAGTTATGTATTTACATTTCACAGAGAAGCAACCCATAAACTGTTGAAGTACAGGAGAAGCTCATTATAAAACTAAATGTATGAGATAATCCTATTCTTATAAAATAAAAATGTGTACTATAGAAAACAAAGAAAAAAGCCTAGAAGGATATATAGAAAACTGTTAGTGAGTTAGTTCTGGGTAACAGAATTGTAAGTGTTTTTTAATTTTCTGTATTTGAAAATCAATTTTCTCATCTACTGATTATAAAATGTATTACTTTTATAACAAATTTAAATCCATGAAAAATTTTAAATATTACCTATTACACAATATTTTCAAATTTTACAAAGATTTAATTTATTTTGATTTTTGGGTTTTTTTGCTACATCTTGAGATATGAATACAAACAACTATTCTTAAGATGTTATTGCATTAATGTTACTAATTCATTAAAGGATAATTCATGTATCAGAGCTGCTCAAAACAACCAGACACATACTATCAAAGTTAAAATAGAGAATCTACCCTACCTTCATAAAATTAGGGTCCTCTTTGCTCATATAAAAAGGATCATACTCTTTTGGATCATAATGTTGTATGAATACATTTCCCTGTAAGAAGGAAATAAAACCACATGTAATAAATTAATTGTGAGCATTGTCAGGTCTAGAAAGTCAAACACACAGTTCCATTCTTGTGCTTCAAAATGGGTCAGTGGCTGGAGATGTAATTCAGTGGTCAAGTGCTTGTCTAGCATAAGTGAAGCACTGGTTCCATCCCCAGCACACACACACACACACACACACACACACACACACAATGGCAAATGGCATCCATGGCAAATACAAAAGGAAAAAAAAGACCACACACACACACACACTGGCAAATGGCATCCATGGAAAAAAAAGAAAACACACACACACACACACACACACACAATGGCAAATGGCATCCATGGCAAACACAAAAGGAAAAAAAAGACCAATCTGAAACTACATTTATTTAAGTAACAAACCAATATTGTATCAATGGAAGGGATCTACTTAAAATCTGTAATATTTTAATGAAGAATGTTCACACACTAAAAGATTTGAGAATGCTTGTAAATGCTTACTAATCAAGACTCTCCAGTATTTTTTAAATGCCAGAACAGAAATATTTAATAGTTTCACAAATAACCAAGCTCTAGAACAAAGGAAAAATATGTTCTAAACCTAGAGTTGAAATTTTTTAAATTAACTAAAATTAACAATTATAAGGAAAATGGTTGTAATGTACACAGTTAAACCTTTTGCACATGCACTGGGTGTAAGAACACTTTGTCAGCTGGGCATGGTGGCACTATGATTCCAGCACTTGGGAGGCTGAGGCAGTTGGATCTAGAGTTCAAGACCAGCCTGGGCTACACAGTGAGACCCTGTCTCAAAAATAATAGTAATAATAATAATATTTTGTCTATAACAGAGTATAGATTGTACATATGTAAGGAGGAAAGGGCAGGCTGCTTGGGTGATTAAACAGCAAGTGAACAAATATAACCGTAATTTTTAGGCAGGCACTCTACCATGTGAGCCATTCCCCCCACCTATTACCATAATTTTTAAACAAACTGAAAAAAGTATCAAATGATCTCTTAGTACCGTTTTATTTACATATTTCACAAAACTATCTGATTCCTCTTGTCTCCTTTTTTTAATCTTCTTATATGAACAAACTTTTTCTAAAACTTTCTTCTGTAGAGGATCTGCCACATGGTCAGCCCATCTTTTATATAACATCTCTTTTCTTCTTGTATTTAAGAAGTCGTGATGATGTAAATACTTGTCTAGTTCCTAGTAAACAATGACAGGAAAGAAGAATATTATCATCCTGAAGTTATCTTGTTCTAAAATCTTCTAAAACTTAAACTTTGTGAGTTTAAGTTATTCCTAAGAATAATATCCACAAAAGCTTTCATTAAGTCAAGCATTTATTTGCCTCTAATATTTGATATTCACTATGCTGGAAACAAAAAATACATAGATAACTGATACAACATGCCTGCTTTCCCTAGGGAGACAGACTAAAAAAAAATTTACAACACAGTGGGAGGAGAGGCAATACGGCAATATTGCATATTATGGTAACTAAACACGTAGAACAGAGACAAACCATTTTCTAGAATCTTACAGGATTCCTCAAAAAGTTCAACAGAATTACTTACATAACTAAGCAATTCCATGCCTAGCTATATACCCTAAGCATTAAATACAGGCAGTCAAAGTGCTATTTGCACACCAATGTTCATTTCCACATTCACAACAGCCAAAAGGGGGAAACAACACACATTTCACCAACAAATGAATATAAACAAAATGCAGCATACAGTACACATACAATGGCATATTATTCACCATAAAATGGAATGAAGTACTGGTATATGCCACAACATGAATGAATCCTGACAATAATAGGCCAAAGTGAAAGAAGGCAGATAAAAAAAGGACAAATATTAGACTGGAGGTATGGCTCAAGCAGTAGAGTGCCTGATTTGCAAGCGTGAAGCCTGAGTTCTAATCCCAGTCCCACAAAAAAAAAAAAAAGACAAATATTGTAGGATTCCACATATAGAAATATCTAGAATAAGCAAAGTTCACAGAGACAGATTACAGGTTATCAGAAGCTTGGGGGAAAAGCAAATAAGGAGTCACTACTTTCTGAGTACAAAGTTTCAGTCTGAGGTGATAAAAACATCTAGGAAATAGTGGGGATGAGACTATTTCTTTTTTTTTTTTAAGTACTTATTTTTTTTTTTTCATATGTGCATACAATGTTTGGGTCATTTCTCCCTCTTCCCCACCCCCTCCTTACCAACCACCTGCCCCTCCCTCTCCCCACCCCCTCAATCCAGCAGAACTATTTTGCCCTTATCTCTAATTTTGTTGAAGAGAGAGTATAAGCATAATAGGAAGGAACAGGGTTTTTGCTGGTTGAGATAAGGATAGCTATACAGGGAGTTGACTCACATTGATTTCCTGTGCGTGTGTGTTACCTTCTAGGTTAATTCTTTTTGATCTAACTTTTCTCTAGTCTGGTCCCTTTCCTATTGGCCTCAGTTGCTTTTAAGGTATCTGCTTTAGTTCTCTGCGTTGAGGGCAACAAATGCTAGCTAGTTTTTTAGGTGTCTTACTATCCTCTACCTCTCTTGTGTGCTCTCGCTTTTATCATGTGCTCAAAGTCCAACCCCTTGTTGTGTTTGCCCTTGATCTAATGTCACATATGAGGAGACAATACGATTTTTGGTCTTTTGGCCAGGCTAACCTCACTCAGAATGATGTTTCCAATTCCATCCATTTACCAGCGAATGATAACATTTCGTTCTTCTTCATGGCTGCATAAAATTCCATTGTGTATAGATACACATTTTCTTAATCCATTCGTCAGTGTGGGGCATCTTGGCTGTTTCATAACTTGGCTATTGTGAATAGTGCTGCAATAAAATGGGTGTGCAGGTGCTCTGGAGTAACTGTGTCAGTCTTTTGGGTATATCCCAAGAGTGGTATTGCTGGATCAATGGTAGATCAATGTTTAGCTTTTTAAGTAGCCTCCAAATTTTTTTTCCAGAGTGGTTGTACTAGTTTACATTCCCAACAGTGTAAAGGGTTCCTTTTTCCCCCGCATCCTCGTCAACACCTGTTTTGGTGGTGTTTGCTAATGATGGCTATTCTAAAGGGGTGAGGTGGAATCTTAGTGTGGTTTTAATTTGCATTTCCTTTATTGCTAGAGATGGTGAGCATTTTTTCATGTGTTTTTGGCCATTGAATTTCTTCTTTTGAGAAAGTTCTGTTTAGTTCACTTGCCCATTTCTTTATTGGTTCATTAGTTTTGGGAGAATTTAGTTTTTTAAGTTCCCTATATATTCTGGTTATCAGTCCTTTGTCTGATGTGTAGCTGGCAAATATTTTCTCCCATTCTGTGGGTGGTCTCTTCAGTTTAGAGACCATTTCTTTTGATGAGCAGAAGCTTTTTAGTTTTATGAAGTCCCATTTATCTATGCTATCTCTTAGTTGCTGTGCTGCTGGGGTTCCATTGAGAAAGTTCTTACCTATACCTACTAACTCCAGAGTATTTCCTACTCAAGAAAGACTATTCTTAAAGAGGGACAGAGAGAGAGAAAGACAGAGAGAGAGATAGAGAGATGCCACAGTAAAGAGGTCAAAGTGTGGCAGAATCTGGTCCAAATGGCAAGTAGCCAGCAAAAAAGATGCCTAGTCATTCCCAGGAAAATTTCTCATCCACCTTCCACATGACATTACATGATTTCTAGGGTTACTGTGAAGGTGAAAAGGAAAAATATAAAATTTTAAGATCCCTGAGAGGTTCTCTAGCCATGTCCCTTCCTAATTTCAGATCATAGCCACTTCAGATATTCTCAATGATAAGTCCTTTCCTTTTCAAAGAACTCTGAAGAAAATTCTTAAAAATAGATTAGCAGTCTTAGTATACTTCACATGGACATTCTTTTATCAAACTAGTTAAGCCCATTCTGCTTCAGTTAAACCCTCATGCCTTACTATGTATACCTGAGGAATAATTAGCCAGGTGTTCTGTTCATAGCCCTTAAGGATTAGTCTGCCTATAGTGACTAGTAGAACCCCCACTAAGATAAAGGAGCAAGTGAGTGAGGTGACAATCTTATGCTATGTCTGTTGAAGGAATCCCTCCAAAGTAAAGGAAGAGGGGGAAGTCCATTAAAACATTCCCAGAGATCCCTTAAGGTTAATCCCATGTGCTGATGATGTTTTTCATTCTTTCGATTTTCTGTATTCTCTAAAATTTTCATAGGATACACTACATTGATAATGAAAAAATATTTTTTAATGGAGATGCATTTCGTAGCCAGTTCTTACCTTAATTACATAATTTTCTCTATATAAAATTGATTGAATAGCTGCATCAGTATCTTCTTTAGCTAAGGCCTAAAAGGACAAATGAAACTTTGAAAATCAAATCTCAAAAACATTAAATTATTAGTATTATCTGGACTTGTTTTTTATATATATATATATGCCATAAAAATATGAGGTTACTTTCTAGCATAGAATTACATTTGAAATCCCCTCATAATTACATAAAACAAAATATTCTCAGGGCTCTGGCTCTGGCTATAGCTTAGTGGAAGAGCACATGCTCAGCATGTGCAAGACCCCGGTTCAATCCCCAGCTCCCCAGCACCGTAAAAATTAAGAAAGAAAAAGAAAGTCATCTCAAATTAACTGTCAGTGGAAACAGTTGTCCAGTTTTACCAATTTTATTTCCAGAACAAATGAGAAAAATCTCATAAACTAAGAACTATCCTTCCCGTCAATGCCCACAAAAATTAAGGTTCATGCAAGTTAAGAAACAACTAGAAGCCTAGAAAATCCTGAGCCAAACAATAATTTAAACTCCTTCCTTCCTTCCTTCCTTCTTCCTCCTTGCCTCCCTCCCTCCCTTCTTCCCTTCCTCCCTCCCTTCCTCCCTCCCTACCTCCCTCCCTTCCTCCTTCTGGATGGTACTAGCTTAATTTAGTGAAAATATTATCATGCTCTTAGATAGATCCATAAGACAGGAAGAGAGGAAGTAAGGGAGGGAAGGAGGGAGGAACAAAGGAAGGGAGGGAGAGAGGGAGGAAGAATAGAGGGAAGGAGGGAGGGAGGAGGGAAGGGGCATGGAAAGAAGGGAGGGGAAGAAGGGAGGAGAGGGGAGGGGAGAGGAAGGGAGGAAGACTAAAATTTGGCCAGGAGTAGTGGCACACACCTGAAATACCAGCTAGTCAGCAGGTGGTAATCAGGAGGATCATGGTTCCAGGCCAGCCTGGACAAAAAGTTAGCAAGACTCCATTTCAACCAACAAGCTGGGCATCGCGGTGTTGTGCCTGTGATCCAGCTATGCAGGAGGCATAGGTAGGATCACAGTCCGAGGCTGGCCCTGGGCAACAATATGAGGTCTTACCTGAAAAGTAACTAAAGCAAAAAATGGCTGGCGGCATGACTCATGAGCATCTATCACAAGGTCCTGAGTTCAAACCCCAGTACCAAAAATGAAAGAGAGAGGAGAGAGAGAGAGAGAGAGAGAGAGAGAGAGAGAGAGAGAGAAAAAACTTTCAAGTTTGTTGAAAACTGTAAGCCTAGAGATACAAGTTCAATGAACTCCAAGTGGAGGAGAAACTAGAACCCTTGTACATTTACACTGGGAATGTAAAACAGTACAATCACTGTGAGAAGCCGTTTAGTGGCTATATGATCCAGCAATTCTACTCCTAGGCTACATAACCAAGAGAACAGAAAACATATGGTCACACAAAAACTTGTACACAAATGTTCTTAGGAGCATTATTCTAAGAGCAACAAACTAGACACAACTCAAATTTTGAAAGTAAAAATAAGATGCAGTATACAAACAGTGGGATAGTATTTGGCCATAATAGGAATGAAATAATGACACCTGCCACAACATGAGTGAACCTTGAAAACATCATTCTAAGTGAAAGAACAGTCACAAAGAACCACATACCATATGGTTCATTTTTATGAAATGTTCAGAACAGATGGGCAAATCCAGAGTCAGAAAAGAGATTATTAGAGATGTCTACAGCTGGAGAGAAAGGAGAATGGGAAGTGACTGCCAAAGGATATAAATTTTCTTTTGGGAATGATGAAAATATTATAGAATTAGGAGAATGGTGACAGTTGCACAGCCGTGTGAATATACTACAAAACACTGAATTAAACACTTTAAAATGATGACTTTATAGTTTGTGAATAAATCTCATTAATAAAAGTTCAACACTGCAAAAAAAAAAAAAAAAAAAACCTCAGTTTTAAAACTGACAAAATATTTGAACACTTCACCAAAGAAGAGATATAAATGGGAACTAAGACTTAAAAAGATGCTGAGCACCAGTGGCTCACGCCTGTAATCCTGACTACTTGGAAGGCTGAGATGAGGAAGATCACTGCTCAAGGCCAGCCCAGGCAAATATTTTGAGACTCCATATTCAAAATCACCAAAGCAAACTGAACTGGAGGTGTGGCTCAAGTAGAGTGCCTGCTTTGTAAGTGTGAAGCCCTGAGTTCAAACCCAGTCCCACCAAAAAAAAAAAGACTTGAAAAGACACTCAACTTTAGTCATTAGAGAAAAACAAATTTTAAACCACAGTGAGATAACAGTAATGTTGGCTAGAATATGAAACAATTCTCACATTGCTAGTGGGAATGTAAAATAATTTAATGATTTTGGAAAACAGTTTGGCAACTTCATAAAAAGTAAATTTCATTATTCAGAACTATATGACCCAGTCATTCCACAGGTAGATATCTAAGAGAAATGAAAGCCTATGTTCACACAATGATATGCACGTGAATGTTCCTATCAGCTTGATTTATAATAGCCCCAAACTGTAAACAACCCAAATGTCCATCAATGGGGTGGACAAAGTCATATAATGAAGTAACATTTGGCAAAAACAGGAATGAAGTATTGATACATACAATATGTACCAATTGCAAAATAATTATGAGGGAAAGAAAGCAGATAAAAGGAATACATGCTGTAAGTTTCCATTTGCATAAAAAATTTTAAATGCAAAATAAACAATAGTGACAGAAAGCAAAGCAGTGGTTGTAGGGAGTGAAGGGGTGGATTACAAAGGAATATGATGAGGAGGTAACTTTAGGGGCACTGAATATATTATCTTAATTCATGGTGATGATTTCATGTTTGTATACATATGTTAAAACTCATCGAAGTGTACATTGCAAATATATGCAATTTATTGTCTATCAATTATACCTTAATAGAAACTATAAAAAAAGAAAAATAAACTACAGCATATCAAAATTTGGGTAATGCAGCTTCAAAAGAACTTTACAGTTTTGTTATATTAGAAAAGGTATACAGGCCTGGTGCTGGTCACTCACTCCTATAATCCTGGCTACTTGGGAGGCTGAGAAGAGGAGAATCACTGTTCAAGGCCAGTCTGGGCAAGAGACCCCATCTCCAAAATAACCATAGCAAAATGGGCTGGAGACGTGGCTCAAGTGGTAGAGCATCTGTTTGCAAGTATGAAGCCCTGAGTTCAAACCCCGGTTCCACGAAAAAAAAAGTATGTAATAATGACCTCTAATTCCATGTTAAGAAGCTAGAAAATGAAGAGCAAAGTAAATAAATACAAAGTTAGTAAAGCAAAGAGAATGAAATAGAAAACAAACCAAAGGAATAAAACATATTTAGTACAAACCACTTCTCACTGCAACTACTCAAGTAAGAACCTCAAAATGCCATATAATTATACCTCCATGAAAGAAAGCGGCTGTGGTTCCAACCACTCTTTTGAGCTCTTGAGCTTGGGAAGTGTGCCAGTTACCAGATCATCACTGTCTACATCTTTCATTGTGGTCACAAGTAACAGAGCCCCTAGAAAAACTAAAAATTAGCTTATTTAGTCATGAAAATTCATAATCTTCCTATTCTGCCTTCTGTTTAACAATGAATACTCATGGCATTGACTGGAGCCTTCCCTCCCCTTAGGCTGAGTGTCATCAAGTCCTGGAAGCAGGTCTGAACCCACTCCAGCCTCTCCTCCCACGTGCTGTGCCTTTCAAGCCAGTGTGGCCGTCAGCCTGGCCTGTAGCAGCCCCATTCGGAGGTTTCTAACTTTGGTCGCCATGAATGAGGACAGCTGCAACTTCCGGTTACTGTAGCACAGACTGAGCCCTCAGAGACGGAAGCTTGGGGCTTCCGGCCTAACATCTTCAAAGCCCTCCCCGGGGCCCGCAGAGGAGGGAGAAGTTGTCATTGGAGTACCCACTCCCTCTCAACCCCGCACCCGGGTAGGGCAGGGCCTTGGGCACGGACTCTCAAAAATCTAGGGCCCAGAGCAGTCCCAAAGCTATGGCGACCAAACCGGCGCAGGCCCGCAGCCTCGCCCAAACTCAGCCCGTCGCTTCAGAACATCAGAACGTACGCGGCGTCCGACGTCTCCTGCGCACCGCTCCACGCCCCTCCCAGCGCGCGGTGACGCAAGCGCGCACGCACGTGGCCACGCCCAGGAGGGCGGAGGGGGCCAGTTTGCCTGCTCGCCGCCTGACGTTGCTGTCTGCGAACCCAGCTGCGGTCCCCGCCTCTCGGTGATAGACCGCGGTCGCAGCCAATAGGCTCCCCTTCTCGCCACGCCCGCCCACAGGACTGGAAACTAGGCGTTTGTGGCGGTTGCCCTGACCAGGATTGTCAAGATGACGAGATTTGGGGGGCGGGAAATGTTGGTTTAGGTGCCTTAAAGGTGTTCTTATCCATTCCGGGTGTTGATCAGGGTCTATCCATGGCTCCCATGGTAGTCGACGGGGAGGAATGTGAAGGTTCCCGGCCACCATATCTCATTTAACTCAGTGGTTCTCCATCCTGGCTGGTTTGGGGATTTTTTTTTTTTTTTCTGGTTGGTTTCTTGGTTTATTTTACAACCTCAGATGATTCTCATGCAAACCATTATACAGCTAGAAAGTTAGGAGGCTGTGATTTTTGCAGTTTCACAAGTCACTCCTGTATGAGTTGATCTATGATTCTGTCTTCCCCTTTGAGTACTGATGGGCACCAGGTGATGGACCACCATTTCACTCTTCGAATTACCGAGCCCAATATTCAAGCTGTCTCTGCAGGGACATTTGTATTCTCACGCTTTTACAAAGCTAGCCACAGCGGTTGGCTTCAACTGCAGTTCCTGTTTCAGAGCTGAGGGACCATGAGCCACTTGCAGAATTTACTGTTAGATACCCTCCTGGGGACGAAGCATGTGGACAGTGCAGCCCTCATCAAACTTCAGGAGAGGAGCCTGTGTGTCGCATCACCAGGATTTAGTGTAAGAAAAAACAAGTTTGGACATAATACTTTTTTTTTTTTTTTTTTGGTAAGACTGGGCTTTGAACTGAGGGCTTCACGCTTTCAAAGCAGGTGCTTGACTGCTTGAGCCATGCCTTCAGTCCATTTTACTCTGGTTACTTTGGTGATGGAGTCTCCCACACTGTTTGCTGGGGCTGGCCTTGTACCACAATCCTCTCTATCTCAGCCTCCCAAATAGCTAGAATTACAGGCATGAACCACTCATGTTTGACTTGGACATGACTTTAAAACAAAATTTTCTATAAAGGGCCATGGGAAATACTTTAGGTTTCTGGGCCACATATTCTCTGTCAAAATCACTAAACTCTGCAATTGTGATGGAAAAGCAGCTACATATAATATGTAAAAGGGCAAGTATGACTATGTTCCAATAAAACTTTCTTTAGAACACTGAAATTTGAATTTCATATAGTATTCACATGTCACAACATGGTGCTCTTTTGATTATTTTCCAACCACGTAAAAATGTGAAAGCCATTCCTAGCTTTCAGGCCATAAAAAACAAACAGTGAACCAAATTTGACAGGTTTGGCCATAGTTTGCTGATTTCTGGTCTATTTAACCTCTACAGGTAATGCCGAGTGATGTCGGAACACTTGTGAATGGATTTGCTAAAAACCCTTTGCAAACCCGAAGGGAAGGATTGTATTTCAAGGAAATGGATTACAAATGTGTACGGTCAGATGACTATTCTCTTTATGCTAAGAATGTGAGTGTTCAGGATTTGAAGGCAGCTTTCTATTTTCTTTGCCTCTTCTGATCCTCTCCATAAAAACTCTTGAGACACTAAGACAGCTATCTAGTGCCAGGAAGGCATACTTGAAAGTGTTCTCAGAGAGCATGTCTGTGTAAAACATTCATTCCAGAATCTATCAACTGAACCTTCACTCAACTATCTCTTCCCAGTATGGCCCATCCTTCATACTCTATTTCCTCCTCTTAAAAAAAAAAAAAATCCAGGTTGAGTTTTCCTTATCAGAAATACTTGGAACCAAAAGTATTTCAGATTTAGATCTTAGAATTTGGGTATACATAATAAGATCTCTTGGGGAGAGAGAATCACGAAATTAATTTATGTTTCATGTATAGCTTATAAACTGAAGGTGATTTTATACAAAAATTTTAATGTGACTGGAATTTTTTACTGTGACCTGTCACATGAAATTGGGTGTAGAATTTTCCACTTGTGGCATATTGGTGCTCAAATAATTTCAGATTTTAGACCATTATGAACTTTTGATTTTTTGGATTAGGGATTCTCAGTGTATCATTCCTGTACGTAAAATATTGCTTGGCTCTCTATTGCCTAAAAGGAATTCAGGAGATGAAATTCACTTTAATTAGATGCCCTGCCTTGTGGCACATTTCACATTATAAACTAAATAGCTTTACTTTACAGAAGATAAGACTGATGCTTAAGAAAGTTAAATAAAGCCAGGCATTGTGGTACACACCTGTAATCCCAGCACTTGGGAGGCTGAGACAGGAGGATCTCTAGTTTGAGGCCCGCCTGGGTTACATAGCAAGTTCAAAGCCAGCCTGGAGTACATAGTGAGACTCTGTATCAAAAATAAATTAATTAATTAAATAAAGCAGTTTAAATAACTGTTCCATAGTCACACAGCAGAAAATGGAGGTTCTGGGATTCAAACCCAGGGCTGACCAATTCCAAGATGTCTTATCTATGCATTCTACTAGTTGTTCTTTTCAACTGGAGAACTTTTTCAGAATACACATGCTGTTATTACAGAAATATAAATCCTTTTCAGAAAAGGCAACCAAATTAGTAGGAGGGAGTACAGAACTCAAAAACAAATATATGAATATATAGAAGTCTGGAAATGGTGAAAAATGTGGCTGGAGGAATAGCTAGTCTTGAGGTTTGGACTAAGGGCAGCATGGTCTATGTTTTTCCTTCTCCAGGAGAACAATGGTTTGGTTGTTGTGAAAACCCATCTGTATCTCCTGGTGGCCACTTACACTGCAGGCATGTATCCTAGCATCTGTGTGGAAGCCACAGAGAAGCTGGGTAAGTTTGCCTTCTAATACTTGTCTTCATTCCCTGTGTTGGGTATTCTCAGTACAAGTGACAGAGACCCAACTCAAAACAGGAAAGAAAGGAATAATTTATTGGAAGAATCCTGGGGTTTCTTATTTAGCACTGAAAAAGGATAAGGTGCAACCGAATCACAGGGAATGTACATGCCAGGGACTGGAACACTGGTAGGACTCTGTCTTATCTCTGGTTCCAAGTGAATCAGTTGTATTCTATTCCATTGCAAACTACTTCCTTTCTTGGCTGGCATCATGGCCAAGCCTCCCATTCTTCCCCTTAATTCTCTTATGACTCTGATTTGACAAGTCTTAGGTCATACTGTTTATCCCTATATCAGTCAGCTATGTTGGAAGGAAGCAGGAGAACAAGGAGGAAGCAAGTTGAAAAAACAGATGTAACTGATGGGGACTCATCCTGTGTGAGGGACCTTTAACAGAAAAAGAAATTACTAGAAAGAAGGCAGTCACCTTGTTGGTATATACTGCATTCCCCTTCCATGGCTATATATATATATATATATATATATATTTTTTTTTTTTTTAAACAGTATTGGGGTTTGAACTAAGGGCCTCTCATGCTTGCTAGGCAGATGTTCAACCACTAGAATCACATCTCCAGTCCTGTTTTGTGTTGGGTGTTTTCAAGATAGAGTCTCTTCGAACTGCAATCCTCTTGCTCTCTGCCTCCTAAATAGCTAGGAATACAGGTGTGAGCCACCATCACCCAGCTCCAAGGCTATACATTTTTGAATAAAAATTGTGGTTCATGCCTATAATCCCAGCACACAGGGGGCTGAGGCAGGAGGATCAAGAGTTCAAGGTCAGCCTGGGCTACATAGTGAGACATTGTCTCCAAAAGAAAAAATTTAATAAAGAACTAATGTAAACATTGAGCTGAGTAACTGGTAAATTGTTTTTCTGTTTTATATATTTTTTTCATCTAAATTTAAATTTCTCTAAGAAAAATATTGGAATTGGTCAAATACTCTTTTGAAATAGTAGATGCCTTTAGCAAGGAAAGCAGCCATTCTTTCATTTTTTTCAACAAATACTCTCTGAGTATATGCCCTGCACTATCCCAAATGAGGGATCAAGGGTGGACGAGATAGTCTCTGCTTTCCATGCCTCTAAACATTCCCTCTTGCCTGCCTGAAATATTTTCCTCTTCTGTCCCTGTCCCCCTCCCATCTTGTTGGTGAATTCCTAATCATCACTGAAGAGTAGTCAGATCTTGGACTTCTCTTCACTGTGCTGGGTATTTTACATATGTCTTCATTATTATTCCCATTGGAGTGCTATGTTTATTTGGACTGTGAACCCTGGAAGGCAAGAACTTTGTCTTAAGCATTCTCCTACCTCTAGTACTCAACACAGTGCCTGATTTAGACAATTTATACATGTTTAAGAACCAGATAAGTGAATGATTTCTACCTAATAGAATCAAAGAAGGCTGCAAAGAGCTGAAATTTAAATGACTGAGAAATTAAGTACCATCCCAGAAACTATACATACATATATATGGCAGAAATGTAGCTACTATATACAAAACAGGTGTAACTCATTCACACACAAATGTGTACAGAAATGCCAGACAGCAAGGGTGAACTCCACCCCAAAGGGACAAGCAACTACAACTACCAAGGACCTTTTGGAGCAAGTGTCAAGATTTGAGGGAGATTTCAGTAGGGTGGAGTAGGAGCAGAAGCCAGAACAGCGATATATACATCTTAGGTAATAGTCTCATTAAAATATCCAGGAAATAAGACTGGGAAGATGGGCCATTAGGCTTATAAAGAAACCAGGCTCTATCCTGTCTGCTCAAGCACGGGCTAATTCCCCAGAGAAGACTGGAAAAGTTGCCTGACCACAGTAATATAGATTCTGTGGCTGGTGTTCTTGCTTAGAGCTGCAGAAGACCACAAAGAATTAACACAACTAACATCATGCCACAAAGTCTCCACTGCTCTGGGAAGTCACAGGTTATCTTGGAAGTGGTTGGATGCTCTTGCGGAATGGGCAAGAGAGGAACCTATCAGGAGCTTGTTTTGTTACTTTTGCTACCTTTGTTTCTCTTCTTTTTAATTGTGTTTTTCTCTAACAAAAAATTATACATGATCATTGTAGAAAATTTGAGAAGTAAAGAATTATGACTATTTAAACTTTTGTTGTAAAAGACAGCATGACTATTAATGAAAACCTTTTAACAGTAAATAAGTAAAGGATGTCATTCTACTTCTCTAACACAAATCAAGTTTGTTTTTAAAACAAATATATCAGTCATATACACTTGTAAAATGTTAACATCTTTAATTCTAGGTCCTTGGTTTTAAAAAAGGAGATACTTTTAAGCACATTTTAGACTTATTTTTAGAATTATTACGGAATTATCAAAGAACTATAATTTTTCCTTAAATTTCCTGTGATCTATATAAATTCAAGCTAAGGAATACACTTAACTCCCCTATAATCCCAACCAAATGTCCTACCTTCTTCATCTAGTCATTGCCTCACTTTCTGACCACATACGTGTGCCAGGGCTGGCAAAATGGCTCAAATTGTAGAGTGTCTGCCTTGCTTAAGTGTGAGGGCCTGAGTTCAAACCCTAGTACCACCAAAATAAATAAATAAAATAAAATAAAAATACATATGCCAAAAAAACTGGGCTCTGTGTTTTGATAGACACATAGCTATGGATAGAGATAGATGTCTCATGGTTTGGATGTTTTGGTTATTCTCCAAGTACTAACAAGGCTTGGCCCTGCTTAGCTTCTGAGATCAGAAGAGATCGGGTGTGTTCAGGTGGTATGGCCGTAGACTGTTTATTCTCATTAGAATTTCACCTAGGATCTTATTGCCAAATCTGTAACATAGACAGTAGAAAAATGTGATTCATTTTGCTGAATCTGCTATGCACTTAACTTTTAAAATTAAGAATTCTACTTCTTTTGACACTTCATAGATCCCTATTCTCCCATCATTGCCGTCTATCATGATTGCAGTAGAAGAAGCCAAATTAGGTAATATCCAGCAGTCAATTTAAGAAAAAGTAAAATTTTTGATGAGTGAAGCATCAGCTTTCAAAAGTTTCTTATTAATAATCCTGTTTAAAAAATGAAGTGCCTCTTTTTATTCCATTTATAGGGAAAAAATGAAGTGTCTCGATCAGTTTTAAATTTAGGACATAGAATGCACATAGGCAAGGGGGCAGCAGGTTTATTGTTCCCTGAAGCCCTCTCCCACTGTTTCCTTAACCAGCCATATCCTTCATTGTCTGTGCATGTACAGTCAATTCATCCTCCTAAACTGCTCAGATACCTCTATCATGACATTTGCCATTGTGAAATATAATTGAGGTTTATGTACATCTCCCCTAATAGATAGTGAACTCTATGGGGCAAGGACGGTGTATTTAACTATGAGTCATCCTAGGAACTCCAGTACTTAGCACAGTGCCTAGCAATGCTAATCACCCAACACTGTTTATGGAATAATAAGTAAATGAATGAATGAACAAATTATATTGTGCTGATAATTTACTACTCATAAATAATAACTGTGTTTTCTTTCAGGAGAATATCTAAGAAAAAAAGGAAATTAAGTCATCAGAGGACTATGGAAGACTATTATTTTGGAAAAAGACTATAGATCCTAAAGAAAAAAATAACACCTTATTTTGTGGTTGAGCAATACTTTGCAGAAGATTTTTTTCAAAGGCTTACTGAATGGAGCAATTTTTCTAATCTCTATTGAGATTACCTGATTGGCTTTTTTTTTATGTGTTGGTCATTGGCATGGTATGTGAGAGTGTTGATTGTGTCACATGGCATGTCTGCTGGGAGTCTCACCCCATGAGGGTGAGCCCATGAGGCTCTGGTACTCCTACACATCTTGCCAGATATGCCAAGAATGCAGGCCCTAACCACTCTGTCTAGGCCACTTTGCAGAGTCATGTTGTAGCAAACAACCTTTAAAACAATGAACTAATGTCAGGGCAAAGAGCAAACTTGCTTACTGTTTGCTACAAAAAAAAAAAGCTAGAGCTCAGTGCTGCTCTTCTATAATGCAGATCACTGCCATGTGATATCAGTCTGGCCCACATCAACCATATGGGACCTAGGGGAAGGGAAAACCAATGCAAAGGCCACCCAGTAGTGGACCACTAGTATTAAATGGATATTCCACATTCATCTGTAGGCATCTGATCTTGCTGAACACTGTAAAGGCCTACTCAAAAATCTACTCAGAGATTTCTAACGACCTCCTTCACTGCATCTGAGTTCACATACTTAGTAAGTCAGAATGGTCACTAAATACAATCTTTCTAAGAAAGGGCTTATCTCTTCTTGGCCACCTCATGGATAATGATAAGGACAGTAAGGGAGTGAGCTATCCAATTTATCTTGAAAATTTTGGATTCCATCCTGACCATTTCTGAACATGAAGTACCTTTCTTTCCCCTTACAGCAACCCTAGGAAGGGTGTGGTTAGTATACCCTTCAGATGTTCTGAGGGAGGGAAGGCTTAGACCACTAGCCAAAAGAGGGCCTACGGAATTCAAATGCAATTCTGGTTTGGCCAGATTGGATTGGCATGGTCCTATATCGTAAGGGTAATGACCACTTGGTTGAGTATACTACTCTCCAGGACCCTGTATGGTGTACTTGTATACGTACACAGGCCAAGGAGGGATATCATGGGTCTCTAAATTTTGTAAAACAATCCCTGACTCTCTCACATCTAACTCTTCCAACCAAAATGGGTGAAAGTAGAGCATGATTGGAGAAAAAAATGTAGTCATAGCAACTGGTATGGTACACCAATTATATGACCATGAAGGTCCTGGCACCTGGGAAGGGAATAGCTTAGACCTCAGGAGATGGTGAAATGGGGAGCTCTTTTTGTCCCCAACATTCAGTACCACAACCTGATAAACTAGTCATATGGTCTGACTTATTATCCTTGTTAGATAGAATAAAAGCAAATCTTACTCTCTTTGTAGTTCTTGACATTGTCAGGCAGGAAGGTGCAATATTCTGAATTCCAAAGACACCATTCGAGGGCAAAGCATCTTCTGTTTTGTAAAGTCCTCTCATTTTCAGGTTTTCAAAGAGGTTACTTCCAACATCATTCCTTGAGTGTGGGTCTAAGGACCACAGGTGCTTTCCAACCTTAGCTCTAAACCATTCATTTGTCAATTCAGTTGCTTGATTCTTTTCAGTTTTCCTCAATGAGAGCTAAATTTAAATTCACTTAGTAATCATTGAGTAGCCCACTATGTGCAAGGTAGTGGTGATATAAAAGTAAACACCAATCCCCGGCACCAGAAAAGAAAAAGACAAAAAGGGAAAGTAAACACTACAAGTACTCCACCTCAGATAGGTGCACAATCAGAGCAAAGGCACAGAAGCATGAAAACTCCTGT